CTAACCAATATATCCAAAACAGAACCTAACATTAGAGGCATACTTAGATTAATATGTCAATATCATAATCTATGATATCCGGATTTGTGTTTGAGGTCAAGAGTTCAAGTACTTTTTCGACGTGTATTTTTTGTTGTTTTGAACTTACCGATTTAACAATAAAAGTAAAATGTCTATTAGTGACATAACTTGGTAGTTACTAATTTTTTAAAAAGGATTCAACTTTCAAGTCAATTCATATTTTAAAGACATGATACAAACATATATATATGTTTGATATATATATATATGTATATATAATTACTTGACAAACATAGGTAACATTTTCTCGGATAACAATCCATTTTAAGAAAATGCTAGTTGGCAAGTAACTATTATTTTTTGTATTCTTTAGATTAGATACATACTTTGCGACACCCTGTATATGCGCAGCCAAAGGTGTTGTAGTACTGTGTTTTGAAAATATGGCGCAACGCCCAGTTTCGAGTTACATTATATCTAAAACAAAACGTAATTATTCAAGACTGAAGCTATCGTATTCTTATTATAAGTACTTGAGCTTGTAACTTTTAACGGCTAACGTTTTATCAGCCATCGTCATTAATGAACGGACAAGGTTTTCTGCACACATTTAGTGCGGTCACGATGTTGCAACATCTTTAACTTTTAACAAATTGAATTCACATGGGACGATTCTTATGGGTCATTGCCACCGGCCACTTGACTGTAAAACGACGATTATTCAAATAAAATTATATTTAAATACGGGTTTCGCGTTTTTAAGGAGATCAGGGTGCATTTAAGTTGTTGAAGAATGTCAGCTCATAGGCGTTACAATATTTTCTTATCCGACAGTCATATTGCCGCTATAACAGTTTGATCATTACAACGTTTGACTAAGCATCTCTCTTGTACGGCTCCCTGGTCTGGTGGCCTTGCATTGGAACTGAGACAACTAAGGCCAAACTCAATAAAATTCAGCGTTCGGCCTGTATTAGTATTACAAGCGCAGTGCGAACAACGCCATTGAGTGCAATGGAAGCTCTGTTGGATCTCCCACCGTTGGATCTGGTGATCCGCGGTGAAGCGAGAGTAGTCACTCATCGACTGAGGAGTCAGGGCAGCTGCGCTTTCTTGAATCCTGTCAAGGGGCATACTGCCATCTTAGTCGAATTACAAAGGGAGGACCCCGTCCTTCTAAGCATGGGTGATCGTATTACCCCTAAATATCGCTTCAACCGCAAGTTTATTGTGGAGTATCCAACGAGGGAGGAGTGGGACGCCGGTAGCCGGGCAGGTCTGGTACACGGACGGCTCGGTTACCGAAGAGGGCTCAGGTGCTGGGGACTCTGGGCCTAGAACTAGGCTATCTCTGCCTCTCGGTGGATACACCACTATTTTCCAGGCGGAAATCTTTGCGATTCTGGCTTGTGTATCTCACATTCTGGAGGAGGGTGGGCCTAGGAGAAGAATAACAATCTTATCCGACAGCCAGGCTGCAATTAAAGCACTAAGTGCCTGTAAGATCACTTCGAGTCTTGTATTGCAATGCAGGGAGGCTCTGGATTGCCTCGCAGCGAGGCATCCGGTATCGTTAATATGGGTACCGGGGCACGCTGGGATAAGGGGCAATGAGACGGCGGACACTCTGGCGAAAACAGGATCAGCCAGCAAGCTCGTTGGTCCTGAGCCAGCTCTAGGAGTAACCGCGCATAAAGCTAGGAGGAAAATGGAGACGTGGGTTGCAAGACAACACTCTCAGAAATGGAGAAGTATCTCTAGACATCTCCGCCAGGCACGAGAGCTCATTGAAGGGCCCAGTGCTAAGGATGGACGCTTCTGCCTATCTCTGGGTAGAGCCAACCTAAGGTTGCTGGTGGGACTGTTGTCTGGCCATAACACGTTAAGGCGGCACCTGCACGTGATGGGGGTGGCTGAGGATCCCTTGTGCGAACGCTGCGGAGTAGAGGAAGAGACCTCGGCGCACGTTTTGTGTCGCTGTGAAGCTCTGAGCTACTATAGGCAGACTATACTGGGGTCCATTACTTTGGACCCTCAGGACGTAAAGGAGCTTGGACTCAAGGCGATTCTCAACTTCGCTAAAAGGGCGAGGCTTGTGATTTAAGTATTGTAGAGGTGCATAAGGGCCCGCTTAAGCGGCCTATGCACTGGCTCCTTATGGTGGCCGGAATGCCTCTAATTTCAAGATTCATTCACTCATTCAAGCATTTCAGTCATTCCCTGTAGTCACTGAATAATTTCAGTCAAACACCGTAACAACCGTTATTGCATTCGCCTATTTTATTCAAACGCTGTAATCAATACAGTGTTGCTCCAATGAAGTACATAACAAGAAACTACTTTATCAATAATATTAAAAGAAAAATACTCAAGCAAGAATTAATCTAAAAGGAAAAATAATAAACTAAAACCTTGTCTTAATTACTACATTATTGTTATTCTAATCAAGTATTCAAATACGAAATCCGGCAACAATGGATGCTGCTGTTGAGCAAGCGTATGTACGTTATAATTTAGGTTAGGTTCACAAAATTATAAAAATTAACTTACATCCTTTAAGTCATTTGTATCGATGGTTTTTTCTTATTCGCACTGTTATACTATTCACTATGCGACATTTTTACACACACAAAAAAGACGATGTGTATACTCAAGCAAATGAACACAAAACTGGTACAACGAATGACTGACTCAGGCGAATGCAGTAACGAAGTTAATCTGGTTGTTACGGTGTTTGACTGAAAGTATTCAGTCATTATTAAGAATCAAACTGTTACGGTATTTGCGGGCAATACGGGGACTGACTAGACATTTCGGGAATGACGGATTTCAGCGTTTGACGCACATAAAAAATGCAACACCGACTAGGAGTGCTGTAATTTTGAGCATTCTTTTACAATTTCCTTAAAAGAGAATCCCATGATAGTGCAATGAAACAAATGGAACCAACACAGAAAAATCAATATTAAATAAACATGTTCATATTACTCGGATCCTGATATGACAAAAAAAAGCATTTACAAAAGAGTACGGCAGCGAATGCCTGCCATGATAGCAAATATGTTTACAAGTTTTTATGAAAATTCAATAAGCGATTTTAAGTGTTTCATTTTATGTCACTTAGTATACAAGCTAGGGACGGCTGGCCCTTAAGTTTTGCAGAGCTGCAGAACTGCCAAAACATTTGTCTTATCAAAAAAAAAAGTAGTAATTTGATCATTATTTATTTTCCATGTTGTCACATAAATAGAAACAATACCGGCAACGCTGCCCCCGCAAGACGCGGCGTCGAGTCTGTTTTGTACTGAGAAAGCATTATAATCGACCAATTGTGTACTTGTCATTTTCGTCGCGACCGCAGCGTAACATTATTCATGGGCCGCTTGAAAAGGGTCTGCTGTGCACTACTTCGACAGAAGCCGCACGCGCTTGCTTTTGTCTCTCTCTACAAAATTAAATGCGCGATTTAAGCATAAGCATGTGCTGCACGTTATACAGATCCGTACAGATCTAATGCGAAGTACGATATCTGATTGGTCGGTCGGTGCTCGGTATGAAATTTTGCGGAGCTCCCAAAACCCGGGAATATTTCGTGCACCGATTAATTTTTCTGCTGAGCCTGATACAACCTTAAGCGAACACATAAAAAATGCTTCAATATTTAAAGGAACTTCGAAATAAATACAAAACGATCTACTGGATTGTATTCTTGAAGTTTGTCATGAAGAAATATACTAAGTGACATATAAATCCGAACACCCAGTTTAAATGGTTTTATTTTAATAAAAGTTGGTGAATGTATTTATCTTACTGTAAATAACAAGTAAAAAAATGTTCAGCCTTATCAGTTGGACATTCCGGTTTTTATACTGCTTTTTTCTAATTCACTAACGCTCTAAAAATGAATATTTCAGCCGCAGTAAAGAATCAACGTTGGCGGATTTTGGTTCTTGACATCCTTTACGATCGGTTACGATGCCTAGAGCACGGAGACCTGTACGATTTCGTCAACTTAGTGAGTTTGATACTGGTCGTATAGTGGGACTTCGGGAAGCTGGACCTTCTTTTCGGGCAATTGCAGTTAGAGTGCAAAGAAGTGTAGACACTGTGGTTAGGTGTTGTCAGGCATGGCTTCGAGAAGGCCGTACGCAAAGAGCAAGGGGCACTGGACGCCGCCGTAGAACAACAGACCGTGAAGATCGCCGCCTAAGATTATTGGCCTTAAGGGACCGTTTCTCCACTACCAGGTCCATTGCAAATAAATGGTTTGCAGAACACGGAAGACCTATTGGCATGCGAAGTGTTTACCGACGAATGAGAAGTTTTGGCTTGTTTTCATACCGGCCACACTGGGTCCTCCCTTTAACTCGAGAACACCGACGTAATCGGAATCCACAGTTTTTTGTTGAAAGACATGTTCATCACACTGTTGGAGTTATGGTTTGGGGTGCTATAGCTTATGGTTCCAGGTCACCTTCAATCTTCATCAGAGGTAACATGAACGCGCAGCGCTATATCCAAGAAGTTCTAGAACCCCATCTTTTACCCTATCTTGACACCCTGGCAGATCCAACTTTCCAACAAGATAATTGCCCGACCACATGTTGCAAGAGTCACAATAGACTTCTTTCAACATAGTGATGTCACATTGTTACCATGGCCACCAAGATCTCCCGACTTATCCCCAATTGAGCACGTGTGGGATATGATGGGTAGGAGATTGCTCAGTTTGCAACGTCCTCCTCAGACTCTAGAAGCACTTCGAGAGGAGTTGGTGGTTGCCTGGAATGAGATACCACAGGAGGACATTGACCACCTGATCAGAAACATGCCTAGGCGCGTTGGAGAATGCGTAGCACATCAGGGTGCATCCACACATTATTAAAGGTCAAAGGGCTTTAAAGCAGTGCAATCATTTTGAAATTTTTATCATTTACTTATTATGCTTCATTTTGAGCGTCGTAGATTCACTAATAGGAAATTTCCCTAACAAGCAGATTTCACAAAGTTATGATGGAGCCGCGGTAATGAGCGGACATAATGCTGGAGTACGGACAAAAATTAAACAAAGATATCCGTTTGCTCACTATGTGCATTGCTATGCGCATCAGTTAAACCTGATTATGTCCCAAGCTGCTTCAACTAATGCTCAAGTTCGGGTGTTCTTTGGGGATTTGAAAGATAATCCGGGATTTTTTAATCAACGCGTAGAGGTACTGAACAGAATTGTGGGGAAAAATTCCCCAAGGAGCAACAACTCGTTGGAATTTTAATATTCGAACAATAAACGCAGTGTTTGAGAACAGAGAATCACTCATTGAATGCATAGAAGAAATAGAAGAAAATTTCACTAATGAAACCGTTTGCAAGGCAGCTTGCTTATGTTAAACGATTGTATTACAAGCAAAAGAGTGTACGTATATATTGGAGTACTTATATGAGGTGACAGATAACTTTAGCAACTGATTTATGTATTTTTATGCTAAATAAACTTCTTCATATGTCTTTTAAATTCGTCATGTGCTAGTCATTTTGTGGCTCGAGGTATATCATTGTAAAAAATATCTGCGTTGTAGGTGAAGCATCTCCGAGAGAATGATGTCCTAAAATGTGTCCGCCTCTCAACTCTTGTCTCATTTCATTCATCTCGTATTTTAGCGTCTAAGATCCATCTCCCAGAAACCCGTCTATGATATCCATGAAATCATATCCTTGGACCATAGAAGTTTTTAGGTATTGCGTAAAATACCATTGAACTTGACTTCCCAAAAACATGACAGTGAAAGCAATTATTTCGGCTATTGTAAACTGCGCTTGCAGTAAGTATGACCTCATAACAATGTCTACAGCATTACGTGATTATTTAAAAGTCCATTTTTCGGTCATTTGTTATGCTAATTGTAGTAGACATGTCTCTTGCTGAAGGACTTATGGGAACGCTAGCAATAAATTCAGTTTCAGTTCTACGTTACGAATATACGACTAAATAATACCTAGTGATACGGAGAGCGATCCTGAAGGTGGACCTATTATGTATGTATCGAAGAAAGAGACTAAACCAAAACAGTGATATTTTTTTTTTTTTTTTGTGAGGGGGGAATGCATTTACGCACCATACCATAGCCCGAGCTACGGCGTGTGTGGGACTCCAGGGTCTTGAGGAGATCACCTAATACCCACTAAACCCTAAACCTCCGCGTGGCCCGACTCATCAGCGTCTCGGTAGGCCATGTGTTGTGCGTGACCTGCGGTCTGCTACAACGTCTCCTCATGTGTTTCAGTCTCTGGGAACGCCGGGTTGGTTCCCTTTACCTCGCACATTCTATCGATGTCGTTTGGTATGGTTTGGGGTGCTATAGCTTATGGTTCCAGGTCACCTTTAATCTTCATCAGAGGTAACATGAACGCGCAGCGTTATATCCACGAAGTTCTAGAACCCCATCTTTTACCCTATCTTGACACCCTGGCAGATCCAACTTTCCAACAAGATAATGCCCGACCACATGTTGCAAGAGTCACAATAGACTTCTTTCAACATAATGATGTCACATTGTTACCATGGCCACCAAGATCTCCCGACTTATCCTCAATTGAGCACGTGTGGGATATGATGGGTAGGAGATTGCTCAATTTGCAACGTCCTCCTCAGACTCTAGAAGCACTTCGAGAGGAGTTGGTGATTGCCTGGAATGAGATACCACAGGAGGACATTGACCACCTGATCAGAAGCATGCCTAGGCGCGTTGGAGAATGCGTAGAGCACATCAGGGTGCATCCACACATTATTAAAGGTCAAAGGGCTTTAAAGCAGTGCAATCATTTTGAAATTTTTATCATTTACTTATTATGCTTCATTAAGTACTTACTTAAAAAAAGCAGTATAAAAACCGGAATGTCCAACTGATAAGGCTGAAAATTTTTTCACTTGTTATTTACAGTAAGATAAATACATTCACCAACTTTTATTAAAATAAAACCATTCAAACTGGGTGTTCGGATTTATATGTCACTTAGTATATTTGACGCCAATGTTTTTAGGCTTAAAAATACTAATGATATGCTGATACGTATTGCGTATCGTGAACTAGATCATTCATACACAAAAGCTCCCGAAAACGGTATACATAACAGCAACAGGAAAAAAGGTGATTTCACTTGAAACTGTCATGAAACATTTATGAGACGCGTACACTATTAACCGCATGATGTGAAGAATACTAATTTTTTTTGTTTGCCATTGATCGGAACGAGAATATGTATGATACCATCTTCGTAGCCTTTGTTTGGGAAATCCCTCCTGAATTCGTTTTGTTACGTCAGAATTGCTGTGCAAATCTTGGCAATGCTCTCCGCTAAATGACGATGCTGGTCTAACCTGATACCGTGACATTTTCGGAGTTGCCGGATTAAGTGCTGCTCCTCTTAAGCCACCGCTCTTTCGGAGTCCGTCGTATCAAACATCCTCCGACTACACAGATCAACGTTTCCTTTAAGGACCATCATGTTTGCCCCAAAAGGCTATCTTTCGGCTTCTGGGGTCACTGGTCTCAATGCAGAACTCGATTGACCTTCATCACGTTATGTTCAAGGTCAAATTTATAGAAACTGCTGAAACAATGTTGAAAAACTAAATTAATAAACTGTAGCTGGATCGATTTTCAAAAACTACAAAGCTTTTTCGTCCTTGGAATTATGTGAAACTTTTATCAAAATCCGAACGGTGCTTTCAAAGTTATATACCAAGGATTCGCGGAGAGACAGACATACCTAATTTTAATCTATACATTGCAGGCGGTAGAGTTATTTCGTCGTCCTAGAGCCATATAAGTATCCTTTGGCGAAAAGCGACACCGAAACATCTATTTTATTAATGAGTAATATTAGTTAAACCTCACAGGGATTATATCTTGTTTTAGGAGATCACATATGGCTTATCATAGGAGTAGTGGCAATGCTTTGGGGTACCGGCATGTTGATCTACACCCCATATGAGTTGCTCATGGATCAAAGAATACACATGTTGCCAGGTAGAGTATTTTATATGATACTGATGAAACAAAGAAACTGTCTTAAAATAAATCAAGCCTAAAATATCCTTCAATGGTTGCTTGTCTATACCCATCCCAGGCATTTATGTCCCTTTGGCCAATAGGAGGGCTAGTGTTTGTTTTGTTGTGGTGTTGATTTCTAGCTAGACGGAAGAGCGTGGATTGACAACTCTATATTTTTTTGAATAGTGCTTTAATATTGTCTGAACCTTATTTTTCTAGGACTTCCGCCTTTCGATTGGTGGTTGCATCCGCCCGATGAAGTGCTGTTGAAGGTATACATTTTTAATGTTACAAATTCCGAAGAGTTCCTAAATGGCACCGATGCCAAGTTGAAGCTAAAAGAAGTAGGTCCTATTATATACAGGTAATGGATACATGAACTGTAATTCAATCATTTTTATACTCCGAAACATTCTTAACAGCTTCTTTTAAAAAAATGCTTTGTTACAGGGTACTCAGAGTGTACGGATAGTTAGTAAATATATACAGGGTGAGCCATAAAGGTGTTGGCAATTTCAATATTCAATTGAAAAAACTACGCAATATAAAAGAAAAATAAATGTATTTTTAAAAAGTAGAAAGATAGGAACTTTTAAGACACAAATAATGTTGTTCAAATCGGCTGCTTGAAACCGAAGCTGCAGATTTTGGAAATCTCGTTGAAAAGTTGTTCTCGGTATTTTGTTACTTTCCTGAACAATATTCCTCTTCAGCTGCTCTAAGTTAGTTGGATTATTCTCGTAGACGACCGATTTGAGGCAGCCCCATAGGAAATAATCCCATGGAGAAAGATCGGGGCTACGTGGTGGCCCCTTTTCGAAATGAGTTTTCCGGGAAAGACATTTTGTTATTGCTACTGTCGAGTCGGCTGTTCCGAACATTCTGATCCATTTCCGTATCACGTTGGCGCTTGGAACTTCTCTTAAATTGCGCAAACCGTTTCATAATACGCTCGGACAAAAAATGCACGCTGCGCTCCCGTGTATCGAGCGCTCCATGGCGACTAAATTTCCAATCCGCGCCCCGCGTTTCCGAGAAATTTAATATTTACACCGCCAACACTCTTATGGCTCAATGTTTTTCCACAACGAAGTGAAAAATACATACAATCATACAGATTTGTTTGTACATTGCCGAAAAAATTAATATCTTCCACTCTCAGTGAGACGAAAATGTGCTTCATTATTGCTTGGTTGTGGATATTCCTACAGGATACAACTATTATATTTCAATGTAGAATTATGTTCCAGGGAAAAATTGAGGCACACGAATCCTATCTTCAACGAAAACGGTACTTTGACGTATACTGCCAACAGATCAGCCATATATTTGCCAGAGCTGAATACTATTGACATGAACCAAACTATCATTATGCCAAATTTAGCCGTATTGGTAAGATATACAAACTCATACGGTTATAAAATTTAATAGCTTTAGAATAGACAGGTCGTCCGAAAATAACACGGAAAGACAAATATACTAAGTGAGATATAAATCCGAACACCCAGTTTAAATGGTTTTATTTTAATAAAATTTTGTATAAGTACTTAATGAAGCATAATAAGTAAATGATAAAAATTTCAAAATGATTGCACTGCTTTAAAGCCCTTTGATCTTATCTTTAATAATGTGTGGATGCACCCTGATGTGCTACGCATTCTCCAACGCGCCTAGGCATGCTTCTAATCAGGTGGTCAATGTCCTCCTCCTGTGGTATCTCATTCCTGGCAACCACCAACTCCTCTCGAAGTGCTTCTAGAGTTTGAGGAGGACGTTGCAAATTGAGCAATCTCCTACCCATCATATCCCACACGTGCTCAATTGGGGATAAGTCGGGAGATCTTGGTGGCCATGGTAACAATGTGACATCGTTATGTCGAAAGAAGTCTATTGTGACTCTTGCAACATGTGGTCGGGCATTATCTTGTTGGAAAGTTGGAACTGCGTGGATATAACGCTGCGCGTTCATGTTACCTCTGATGAAGATTAAAGGTGACCTGGAACCATAAGCTATAGCACCCCAAACCATAACTGCAACAGTGTGATGAACATGTCTTTCAACAAAAAACTGTGGATTCCTCCTTTCACCACGTCGCCTTCTAACCCTTACACCGACGTCATCGCCTTGAGTGGTGCAGACAACGATCACTCTGGGATCAGGAATGGTACAGTATTGTCTTTAGTGACGAGTCTCGATTTTGTTTAGGCATGCACGATGGTCGTGCCAGGGTTAGAAGGCGACGCGGTGAAAGGAGGAATCCACAGTTTTTTGTTGAAAGACATGTTCATCACACTGTTGGAGTTATGGTTTGGGGTGCTATAGCTTATGGTTCCAGGTCACCTTTAATCTTCATCAGAGGTAACATGAACGTGCAGCGTTATATCCACGCAGTTCTAGAACCCCATCCTTTACCCTATCTTGAGACCTTGACAGATCCAACTTTCCAACAAGATAATGCCCGACCACATGTTGCAAGAGTCACAATAGACTTCTTTCGACATAATGATGTCACATTGTTACCATGGCCTCCAAGATCTCCCGACTTATCCCCAATTGAGCACGTGTGGGATATGATGGGTAGGAGATTGGTCAATTTGCAACGTCCTCCTCAGACTCTAGAAGCACTTCGAGAGGAGTTGGTGGTTGCCTGGAATGAGATACCACAGGAGGACATTGACCACCTGATCAGAAGCATGCCTAGGCGCGTTGGAGAATGCGTAGCACATCAGGGTACATCCACACATTATTAAAGGTCAAAGGGCTTTAAAGCAGTGCAATCATTTTGAAATTTTTATCATTTACTTATTATGCTTCATTAAGTACTTATACAAAATTTTATTAAAATAAAACCATTTAAACTGGGTGTTCGGATTTATATGTCACTTAGTGTATGTATTTTCGGAGTGGAGTATCATTTAGAAACTTTATAAAGAGGAGAAAATGTACAGTAGAGTGAACATATTTTTGAGATTATTGTTTTTGTGAAAGAATTAGTTTGAATATTTAAGGTAAAATGCATTTAAATCACTTGGTTCTACTTTGAACATATGTTGAATTTAAGGAAGTTTGTCATCGAAAATTGCATGAAGCCTAGTAAGGAAGTAATTTTATCCACGTTATTTGAAGAACATTCATTAATATACAGTGTGTAACAAAAGTTTGGAAGGCATCGAATATCTGACACGGCGGGTCCGTTGATGATATCCGCGATGTTGCCAAATCCACAGTTTTTCAGAAACTGATAGCAACTTTTGTTCTTCTTATGCGAGAAATTCCTAATACTCTTTAACAAACATACTTTGACCACAAAGTTTTCGAAATATTTGCGGTCAAACATTAATACTTAAACAATAAAAGATATTCTTTACACCTAAGCAATGGCCGGTATCGAAAGTAATTTGCCGTCATGTCTCACATTCAAAAGTCTATTGAGTTAGAATAGCTGAAGCTGATGTCTTCAAAATGTTCTAAACGCATTTCCGCAATATTTGGCTTATTGCCAAGAAGTATATGGACGTCAATTTGAACATTTAATATCATTTTTATCTTGTTTCGAAGCTTAAATCAACAGCTAGGTTTCATCGTTTTCTTTGTTCTTAATTTGTCTCTTGTTTCCTTGAAATATCAAATACACTATTTTAATCAATATTGGAATTTCTCTCCTCTTGGTTTCAGTTATACCCCCAGAAGTCGACGTCAAGCCGAAACCGGGTGATAGGCAAAGTCATAACAGCTATCAGAAAAATATTTAAAAAAATTTTAGTTATGTGTTTTGAGAATTATAGGTCTTTGAAAAAAATATAGAAATTTCACACCCTACGGCAGTGTGTCAACTCCTGTTACTACAAATATTAACTTTTTTTGGATCTCATTTTTACAATGTAATGATGAATAATGCATCTTCAAACTGGTGTCTCAACCTTACTGCCAACTTTTCTCGTTCAGGAAAAATTGCCACTTATTTCCCAACCAAGTATTCCAAAGTAAAACTTTGCTCAACTTCAACTGGCTGTACTGGAAAAAATGTACTACGAGAGTTTGGCAAGTAACCTTAAAAGTTGGCGCATTTAATAAGGATTCCAAAATGGTATAACACTTAGAAGATTACTCGTTAACTTATGCACAATTTTTATTTGAAGAAAAACTGATGAAAATTTTTCAAAATGTCCTAATTAAACAGCGATTATGAAAACGCACAAGGACCCTTAAGGATAACTGTTTGCACAACAGTGGGCGTCAAAATGCTGCTGATGATGATTTACCTTTACAGCAAATGCTCAAACTGTTTTCCTTCAGCCGCAATACACGCTCGACATCTTAAAAAAGATCGGGTTATTAAACGAGCGAATCCACGGTTATTAACAAACTCAGCTGCTTCCAATAGTCTTCGCCCCTCAGTAAAAAAAATCTAACGGATTCAAATCTGGTGACCGGGCTGGCCACGGTATTGTACCAGACCGCCCTATCCATCTGCCTGGAAAGTTTTAATCGAGATACTCTCTCACTGAGAGTGCATAAGTGCGCTGGGCAGCCATCATACTGAAACCACATGTCCCTATAAATACTCAGTGGCACGTCCTCCAATAAATTTTCTAAATGATTTTGCAAAAAACCTAAATAAACCTCAGCAGTTAAAGTCTCTGGGAACTCAAACGGACCGATTATTTTACCATTTAAAATTCCTGTCCAATGGTTTATCTTGAAGCGATATTGAGATTTATCTTCTCTCATCAAATGTGGGTTTGCTACGTGCCACTCGTGTAAGTGCAGGTTCATGTACCCATCTTTCTTAAATGTGGTCTCATCTGACCATAAAATTTTTTCGAAGAACCGTGGATCTTCCCTGTGTCTTTCTAACATTGTGCGACAAAAAGCAACTCGGGGCTCATAATCCCGGGGCAGAAGAGCACTGAAGTACTCGGGTCTTCTTCGACAGCTCTTAGCACCACGTCTTCGTGAGGAAGGAAAGACCTTCCCTCACCGTGTGATTGGTTTGGTAGTTGGCTCTCTGAGAACAGTAAGCGGTGCACATTTGTGAACACTCGATGATCTGGATGACGAGCTGCATTCGGGTACCTCTCACAGAAAAGTCTCGCTGCAGCACTAGCGTTGCATCTGCATTACCCATAAATGAGGTGCATGTTAGCATATTCTTGTACGGTGTACACGGACATAGCGGCACTGCACAATCACACTATCAAAGATAGTCTAAGGGAAGCAAATGTTGTTTTGAAGAGCAATTAAACAGTCCAAATCCAAATCACAGCGATCAACAGTCCAGTTCACGAATCCAAAATTAGTAACAGTACGAAATCAACAAGCACGAACATGTAAAGATGCGCAGTAAACGAAGGAGTACTGATCGGTATCAAAGTGTGCAATAGCAAGTAAGTGATGTGCTTCATCCATACCACATACAGCGTGTTCAACCTCTCCTGCCCCGGGATTATGAGCCCCGAGTTGCTTTTTGTCGCACAATGTTAGAAAGACACAGGAAAGATCCACAGTTCTTTGAAAAAATTTTATGGTCGGATGAGACCACATTTAAGAAAGATTGGTACATGAACCTGCATAACTTACACGAGTGGCACGTAGCAAACCCACATTTGATGAGAGAAGATAAATCTCAATATCGCTTCAAGATAAACCATTGGACAGGAATTTTAAATGGTAAAATAATCGGTCCGTTTGAGTTCCCAGAGACTTTGACTGCTGAAGTTTATTTGGATTTTTTGAAAAATCATGTACAAAATTTATTGGTGGACGTGCCACTGAGTATTTACAGGGACATGTGGTTTCAGCATGATGGCTGCCCAGCGCACTCTGCACTCTCAGTGAGAGAGTATCTCGATCAAAACTTTCCAGGCAGATGGATAAGGCGGTCTGGTACAATACCGTGGCCAGTCCGATCACCTGATTTGAATCCTTTATATTTTTTTACTGGGGAACTGTAAAAGAAAAAGTGTATTTCAAGCCGATTCAAAATGTAGCTGAGCTACGGCAAAGACTATTGGAAGCAGCTGAGTTTGTTAATAACCGTGGATTCGCTCGTTTAATAACCCGATCTTTTTTAAGATGTCGAGCGTGTATTGCGGCTGAAGGAAAACAGTTTGAGCATTTGCTGTAAAGGTAAATCATCATCAGCAGCATTTTGACGCCCACTGTTGTGCAAACAGTTATCCTTAAGGGTCCTTGTGCCTTTTCATAATCACTGTTTAATTAGGAAATTTTGAAAAATTTTCATCAGTTTTTTTTCAAATAAAATTGTGCATAAGTTAACGAGTAATCTTCTAAGTGTTATACCATTTTGGAATCGTTATTAAATGCGCCAACTTTTTAGGTTACTTGCCAAACTCTCGTAGTACATTTTTTTCCAGTACAGCCAGTTAAAGTTGAGCAAAGTTTTACTTTGGAATACTTGGTTGGGAAATAAGTGGCAATTTTTCCTGAACGAGAAAAGTTGGCAGTAAGGTTGAGACACCAGTTTGTAGATGCATTATTCATCATTACATCGTAAAAATAAAATCCAAAAAAAGTTAATATTTGTAGTAACAGGAGTTGGCAGACTGCGGTAGGGTGTGAAATTTCTATATTTTTTTCAAAGACCTATAATTTTCAAAACACATAAAATTTTTTTAAATATTTTTCTGATAGCTGTTATGACTTTGCCTATCACCCGGTTTCGGCTTGACGTCGACTTCTGGGACACCCTGTATAAATCGTATTATTATTAACTCTACTAACAAAACTCAATGGACTTTTCAATGTCAGAAATGACAAGAAGTTATAAAAAATACATTTTACTGTTGTGTCGAAAACTATGGGGTCTACGTCAAAGTATGATTATTAAAAGGTATTTAGACTTTCTCGCACAATACAAATATCCACTAAATTTTCTATAAGAAAAACAAAAGTTGATATCAGTTTCTGAAAAACTGTGGATTTGGCAACATCGCCGTGTTTTCGAACCTAAACCTACCAATTTTTTTTTGTTACAGTCTGTATGCCCAAACAGTACTTTCAGTGGTTCAAAAATGTACAACCCCCGTAGCTTGGTGTTTATAGGAATTTTTATGTTCTACTTTTCCATTTTATTTTTATGTAATTTCAGTTTATTCCGTCATATTTCTACGACGCCCCGTTTTATATGAAAATGGGGGTAAACCTGATGATGAGTAGATCGAAATCTAGTCCGTTCGTGAGAACGACCATCCAGAACTACCTGTGGAACGAAACAGATCCCATTTTGGATGTCTGCCAAAAGCTAGCGCCGTCCTTGGTCCCAACAAAGAACGTCGGAATATTGGATAGGGTAAGCTTTCCACTGTATTTCTATATAATAATTGATTTGCAGATGGTCAAATGACCGTTCACCGCAGCCAAACGAGAATACATATTTTGAAGACCAGGCTTCTGTGGCGGCTCGTGCAAAATAAAACAGGTGTTCTGCAAATCCGAACTTATATAATATACAGGGTGTTTCAGTTTATTGTTGCATAACTTTAAGATTCGATAGAACCTTTAAAATTAATGCATAAAGTCTATATAAACATGGGTCGAAAAACGCGTGGCTTCCGAAATACTTTCTAAAATAGTTTTTTTTTTAATATTTCGAACAATATTTGATGTATAACAGTGAAAATTGGTATACACCGGTTTTTTGGCACGACAAAACGAACCATGGGCATAGTTATACTGTAGCCGCTAGAGGGCGCTCTCTACTGTACCTGTAGTGTATTAAAATGACCGAAAATTTTTTCTTAGTGCAATTTTTTGCTTTTCGAATAAAAAAACTGATTCTTCGCACTTTCGTGCATAAAAAAGCTTTCCTGTGAGTTTTCGTTATAGTTAGCCGTTTTTGAGATATTTCGATTTTTAAGGTTCGATGCATTTTTAAATATTTATGGGAAAATAATATTTTTTTTACATTTTCGATTTGGGCATTACAAATAATTAAGAAAATCGGTTAGATTGTGTTTTTAAACACAGCAATAATTCCTAACTCCAAATAAACACAAAAAACAGAATATTAATTTGTTTAATTTTCCAATATTATTTTTAATAAATTAAATTAATTATTTACAACTAAAATGCTATTGGATAGTTAGGACAAACATACAACTAAAGTAGTTGCTCGAAATGTAAACCCAATTGCCCAATACACAATTCACATCTACGAATGATCGAACGTGGTATAACATTATGCAAATAAGGCCTTATTTCATCACATGCATTCCTGATTCTGTCTATTAGCATATCTCTTGTGGTTACGGCAGTCTGGTACACTTTTTCTTTTAGAAATCCCCACACAAAGAAATCTAATGGATTTAGGTCAGGGGATCGTGGAGGCCAGGCGACTGGTCCTCCACGGCTGATCCATCTTTCTGGATAATTTTCGTCCAGCCAGTTTCTAACTATTCTCGAATAAAGAGCTGGACAACCATCAAGCTGGAACCAGGCCAATCTTCTTAAATCTAACATAACATCATCCCACATATTTGCATGTGCAGCCTTTAAAAATTCCAAGAAGGTCGCAGTATTTAACCTTGCAGGCAAAAGGTGGGGTCCAAATAGTCGATTATGGAGATACCAATCCACACGTTCACACTAAATTCATGCTGAAAATTTCTTTCCCGAACTGCATGCGGATTTTCATGCGACCAAATATGTTGATTATGAAAATTTACCACTCCACGTCTAGTGAAGCATGACTCATCGGTCCATAAAACGTTACTTGAAAACTCCCTATTATTTTCAGTTCTATCAAGAATCCACTGACAAAATGTGATTCTTCGTTCTCCGTCCCCTGGCTGTAGTCCTTGCACAGGTTGCAAATGGTAAGGACGTCTATGGTCATTTCTAAGAACACGGTGAACATGGCTTGCTGATATTCCCAAGGCACCAGAAACTCTCCTAACACTTGTGGTCGGATCTCTATCAAACTCACGCAGAATCATACGGGTAAATCTGCGCTGACGAACATTTATGTTTTGATCCCTTTGGAGATTTCCAAAACCATTTTCAATTATTTGGCGATGCACTCTTACAAATACTGAGCGAGTTGGATGTCGTCTGTTTGGAAATCTTCGTGCGTATTCTCTGGCTGCTTCTGCTGCGTTTCCATTTACAAAGCCATACACAAAATGAATCCGCTAACTCTTGATTGGAGAATAAAAATGGCATTTTTATAAAACTTACAAAAAAAAAAACGGGTAAAAGAAACTAAATTTCGTGCATTCACAATTGCAAAAAAACGTTTCAGGTTTCAACAGACAACAAAACTAACTGTCAACTAATTGACGTTTAACCTTATTCTGCTTTCATTTTCAAAATATTTGCAGGCACAGCCTACTTCTAAAAATTATCAAGATACTGACTTTTTAACGTTATTTTATCATAAATAATTGAAAATGCATCGAACCATAAAAATCGAAATATCTCAAAAACCGCTAAGTATAACGAAAATTCACAAGAGAGCTTTTCTATGTTCAACAGTGCGAAGAATCAGTTTTTTTATTCAAAAAGCAAAAAATTGCACTAAGAAAATTTTTTCGATCATTTTAATACACTACAGGTACAGTAGAGAGCGCCCTCTAGCGGCTACAGTAAAACTATGCCCGTGGTTCGTTTTGTCGTATCAAAAAACCCTTGTATACCAATTTTCACTGTTATACATCAAATATTGTTCGAAATATTTAAAAAAAACTATTTTAGAGAGTAAATTTAAACACCCTGTATTTCGGAAGCCACGCATTTTTCGACCCATGTCTATATAGACTTTATGCATTAATTTTAGAAGTTCTATCGAATCTTAGAGTTATGCAACAATAAACTGAAACACCCTGTATATATATATATATATATATATATATATATTATCTAAAACCCTATATACCGGTAGGTGTAAGGTGCAATTACATTATTTCGTTCTCTAAACTAATTAGTTATTAGTTTCGGTCGCGGTACCGATTCGGGATTGATTCTGAACCACTTCAAAAATCGGCGTTCGCGGTAAGAAAATTCTGAATTTTTAGTTACAGTTCTGCGTTCGCGGATCATATCGAATTGGTACAGAACTGATTCCGAATTGGTCCTGACGCTTCTCAGATTTTTCGTGAGACTAAAAGTTCGATCCGGCTGATCATGCGCATTACCATCGTTATGGACATTTGATATTTTATCTTCCACTGCCCCTATTCGGGTTTAAGGTGTTTAACCTATTCTGTGAAAATGTGTCACCTGTGCTTTTGAGTGCTTACTGTTCCAAACATATGTTTTGTGTGTTCCATCTTACGTTCTTAAGATTCGGTGCTTAAGATTTTGTGCTTAAGATGTCGAACCATTTATCGTTTAGTGATGATGATTTGGAAGAACTATTGGAAGTTATTGAAGTGCCGAAACACCTGGAAGCTGTCAATAGCGTCAATTGAATAGCAGCATGGCAACAGCACAGAATAGAGGTCAAATTGGCAACGGTGTTGAATACGCGAACGGTTCCAAAGTCGTTCGCGGTAAACGAAAATCTCGAACTAGAAAATAACTGGACATGCGCATTTTTGTTATTCTGGATGGTCCAGTTTTAGTTCCGAACTGGTTCAATTTTTGACCCGCGAACGCAATTATTATATATATATATGTATATATATATATATGGCGAGTTTCTGCAACCTAAGGTCGCTTCTCGCAACCCATACGCCATCGTATCCTATCGTTCCAGTCTCCTTCATGTAGTCCTCTACTTTCCATTGCGGTATGGATGTTTGAAATCCATTTCCTTCGTGGTCTTCCTCGTTTATTTCTTTGTGCTGGTGTCCATTTGCAAACCCTTAATGGTATCCTTTCTTCGTTCATTCGTTGCAGGTGTCCATACCATTTTAACTGCCTCTCTGTTATATCGTCCATTATTGTATTTTCGACTTCCATTCTTTCTCTGATGGTCTCATTTCTAACATGGTCAAGTAAAGTTAAACCGGAACATCTTCTCCAGTACATCATTTCGGTTGAGAGAAGCTTTTGTGACATATTTTTATTTACAACCCACGCTTCTGACCCATACGTCAGTACTGGCTGAATCATAGCCTGATATATAATTTTTTTTGTTCTCTTTGTTAGGTTCTTACTCCACAAGATCGGATGTAGTGCTTTAATCATATTTTTTCCTTTTCCTATTTTCCTTAGTATGTCTTTATTATCCTTTCCGCTTTCATCTATTGTAACTCCTAGGTACTGGTACTGTCCGACGTTTTCTATTTTTCCGCTTTTTGTTTCGATGTCTTGTCCTGTGCCTCCTATAGTCATGTATTGTGTCTTTTGTATATTTATCTCCAAACCCCATTTAGTGAATTCTTCTATAAGTTTGTTTATCATGTAAGTCATGTCTTGCTGGTCTTCTGCAAAGACTACCTGATCATCTGCAAAGAGGATTGTATACAAGTGAAAGTCCTCTAACCATATCCCCATGGGGCTGCACTTTCTTATCCACTGTTTTAAAGCGCTGCAGAGATAAATTTTAAACAGGGTTGGAGAGAGGCAGGAGCCCTGCTTAACACCTTTTGTTTGTGGGAAAGCCTCAGAAATTTGATTTCCGACTTTAACGACCACTTGATTTTCTCTATACATTGCTTTTACGGCGTTTATGTATTTGCTATTTATGCCTGCTTCTTTCATTGCGATCCATAATTTCTGCAAAGGGACGGAGTCGAATGCCTTGCGGAGATCTATAAAAGTAGCGTGTAGCTCCATTCCTCTTGCTAATCTCTTTTCTGTCAGTTGTTTTATTGTAAATATGTTGTCGACACAGGATCGCCCAGGTCGAAATCCACTTTGTTCTTCAATTTCCGTGGCTTTGTCTTCTATTCGGGCTGTTAGGACTCTTTCGTACAGCTTTCCGATGGACGATGTAATACTAATACCCCGATAATTACTACAGTCACTCCTGTTGCCCTTTTTATAAATGGAATTTATGTAAGAGTAAAAATTACACAAAGTAGCTCGTGCGTTCTTGTGGTGGCGTGTTTAATTAACTCGATAGGCAAATTCCCCGGTCCCGGAGCTTTATTATTTTTCATTTTTTGTAATGCTGTTTTTATTTCTTCTAATTGAATGGTATCTACTCTGTTAACTCCCGTTTGATCTATATCTAGTTGCGTGTCTAAATACTCTCCACGTTGTTCTGCCAGTAGATTATTGTAGTAGTCTTTCCACTGTTCTATTTTCATGGGATTTATTTTTCTTCTTTCATTCGTGTTTGTTTTAAGACCATTTATAGTTCGCCAAGCTTCTCTAGACCTAGATCCTCCAACCATTGAGCTAATTTCAGCACATTTGGTTTCCCATGTTTTGTTTTTTATTTTTTTAATTTCTTTTTTTACTATATATTTAAAACGATTATAGCTTTTTCGATCTTCATCGTCTTTTGTAGTTAACCATTTAAGATATAAGTTTTTCTTTTCTTCTACCAGTTGGGTTAAATCGTCCGTCCACCAAGAATTTTTGTGTTCCGTTCTATCTTTAACACCAAGGGCTTCTAGTGCTGCTTCGTGAATTTTGTGTTTCAAAGTTTGATACATTTCTTCTGCCTTGCCGTTAATATAAATATATAAACGTAGTTTGTAAAGGAAACTGGTGGATTCATCCCTTAAGCTGTCTATGTTATATCGCTTTGTGGGTTTTCCATTGTTATTTTGTTCTTGATATATGAGATGTTTATTGTAAGTAATTTCAATGGGTGCTTTTACTAGCAGGTGATCTGAACCGCACTCAGCTCCTCTCCAAACTTTTACATCATAGGGTATTATGGAAGTGTCCTGCTTAATCACGACATAGTCAATAATTGATTTCAAGTTTTTTGTTTTTTGAGTCCAAGTATATTTGTGTATGTCTTTGTGTTGGAAAAATCCGTTTAAGATTCTTAACGAGTGTTGTTCACAAAGCTCTATCCATCTGGTTCCGTTTTCATTGACTACTTCCTCTCCGTGTTGTCCAATTATTTTACTGTCAAGAGCTTTGCCCACTCTTCCATTCAGGTCGCCTATCAAGACTATTTCTTGTCTATTTTTCGTCTTATCTAATTCCTCAGAGAGTTTGTCAAAAAATTTGTCTTTTGTGTTTGTATCTGAGTCGTCTGTGGGCGCGTAGATACCGAATATTTTAATTTCTCTTCCTTTTATTTTCATGTCAACCGTTATGATCCTTTCGTCAACTGGGTTCCAGTCCATTATGAACTTCTCCATGACCTTTTTTATTGCAATAGCTACACCAGCTTTGGCCCGTTTCGATTTTTCTACTCCACTCCAAAAGCATATGTACTCATCTTTGTAGCTGTTTCCTTGTCCTTTCTTCTTTGTTTCGCTGAGTACTGCTATGTCGATGTCGTATGTGTGGAGTTCTCTAAATACTTGATCATCTTTAGTGTTTAGTCCTTGTATATTCCAGCATCCAATATTCGTTAACCGTTTTCTTTGCTTTTGTCGTTTTCCGTGTAATCCGTCCGAATTCCGAGGCTGCTGTATGGGTTTTTTAGCAATGCTTTTTTTTTCCACAGGGCGGGGAGCCAACCCGCCGCTACAACCCTCCTCCTTTATCCGGACTTGGGACCGGCACTGGCAGTCACTGAGCTACTCAATCCACCCAGCATCTACCAGAGGCGGAGTTGAACGCAATTATTATATACAAATTTAGCCTGGTCTTTCTTATTTCTCACCCGGCGCACTGCTTCGCTCCAACTTATTTGGAAGCAGAAAAGGGGATCCTTCCTGTTGCACCCACAAATCCAGTCATTTCTAGTGTAAATCTCCCTGCTGAAATGCCGCGTGTAGCCCTTGCCCCGACTAACGCCCTGTGTTTCTATAAATATGTATGGATCTGTATAACTTGCAGCACATGCTTATGCTTGAATCGCGCATTTGATTTTGTAGAGAGAGACAAACGCAAGCGCGTGCGGCTTGTGTCGAGGTAGTGCACAGGACCTTTTCAAGTGGCCCATGAATAATGTTACGCTGCGGTCGCGACGAAAATGACAAGTACGCAATTGGTCGATTATAATGAGTCCTCAGTACAAAACAGCCTCGACGCCGTGTCTTGCGGGGGCAGCGTTGCCGTTATTGTTTCTATTTGTGTGATAATATGGAAAATACATAATGATCAAATTACTACCGCTTTTTTCGGTTAAGGCAAAAGTTTTGGCAGTTCATCACGTTCATCATCGATTCGTCGAATAATTGCTTTGTCTGACTTAACACAGGCGATGCACTGGGGTTTCCACATGCTCTCTGAGCCGTCTGCTTATTATTTTCAAAATATTTGTACTAATATTGTTATTAGCTGTTGTCTCTTTTTAGATATATTCAAATTTCGAAGACAACGTAACCGTTTACATCGGACCAACGTTCGGTCACGACAGGTTCTTCTTAATAGACAAATATGACGGATCGGAATGGCTCCCGAAGAGAGAAGGTCGCTGCAGTGACAAAGTTGTTAATTCTTCTGAGGGAGTCAGCTATCCACAATTTCTAACCAAGAACGATACTCTCAAGTATTGGAGGAAGACCTTGTGCAAAGTCGGAGAATTGGATTATGAGAGTAAGTTATATACTATGTTTGTTGCGTACAGGGTGATTCGCAAATCGTGACCAAAAATAAAACATCATACACAGGATCGCGTTTTAAGGGCGGTCTACTATGAAATTTTTCCCTCGATGGCTTCATTAAAATGATACGGGGTGTTGAAGATTACAAATAAGAAAACGTTTCCAAAACCGAATAAACTAAAATTTGATATGTGGATTAACCTAAGGGTAGTCCACGTCCAAAAGCATTTACTTAAAATTAACGGGCACCACTGGCGGAGATACAGGGGATTAGTGGCATTTTTCCAAATGAAAATAAAAAAATACTGTTTTTTTTTCGAAACGCGCAATTTTTCGAATTTAACCTTCAATTTGCTACGAATAATTACTCTTGCTTTTTTCCTAGAGTGCACTGTTTTCGTAAAAATAAAAATAAAACAAATTAGATCATAACATTGGCCTATGAGGTCTCCTGATTTGAACCCCCTGGATTTCTTTTTGTGGGGCGCTTTCAAACAACTAGTGTGTGCTGAACAAATACATTCTGTTGATCAGTTACAAGAAATAATAGATAACGCGATTTATTATGTTCAAGCCAGAACAAAATTTGCGCAAATAGGCTTTTCTTTATTAAAAAGACGCCGCACTTGATTCCGTCAGAATGGTGATCTTTTTGAACATTTATTGAAATAAAGCATTGATTATCTAATTTGTATGTACGGGGTACCTGTATGTATGTATGTAGGGGGATTATCTAATTTATTTTTTTTATTATTACGAAAACAGTGCACTCTAGGCGCACTATTTTTATTTGGAAAAATAACGGCACTAATGCCTGTATCTCCGCCACTGTATACGTTAGTTTCAAAAAAAGACTTTTGAATGCGGACAATACTTAGATAAATCCACATACCAAATTTTACATAGAAGACCCCCCTTAAAATGTGGTCCTAAGATTTTTCATTTTTGATCCCGACTTGTGAATCCCCCTGTAAAGTAAATAATCACTGTAAGGTGAATATTGGGAGTAAATGATCATGCCTCAATTAAAGACTCTATGGTGAGGTAGCCAACTAACTAATAAACTCTCAAAATAGAGTAGCCTTGTGGCATTTACTTTTCAATAACTTGACCAATTTCATGAATTAGCTGTATGTCAGGTCGTTATTGGCACTCTTGATTGTAAGGGATAACTGACGTCGCTGAAACCGAATCTATGGCCCATTCAGTCCGAAAATGCCTCGTTTTCAAGATACTGGCAATAATTCAACTTTGTCAAAAATATCTAAAAACTGTTGGGCGTCTATGGTCGAGATGGAAGCTTGTTTCCTAGGTAAATCGGATGCGTAGATTCCAAATTCGATGTCGATACAGTGCTAGAAATTACGGCTAGCTCGGAAGAATGGTTTCCTGTCAACTTTTCACCCTAAATCCAGTCTGATGATATACTAAGTGACATATAAATCCGAACACCCAGTTTAAATGGTTTTATTTTAATAGAATTTTGTATAAGTACTTAATGAAGCATAATAAGTAAATGATAAAAATTTCAAAATGATTGCACTGCTTTAAAGCCCTTTGACCTTTAATAATGTGTGGATGCACCCTGATGTGCTACGCATTCTCCAACGCGCCTAGGCATGCTTCTGATCAGGTGGTCAATGTCCTCCTGTGGTATCTCATTCCAGGCAACCACCAACTCCTCTCGAAGTGCTTCTAGAGTCTGAGGAGGACGTTGCAAATTGAGCAATCTCCTACCCATCATATCCCTCACCTGCTCAATTGGGGATAAGTCGGGTGATCTTGGTGGCCATGGTAACAATGTGACATCATTATGTTGAAAGAAGTCTATTGTGACTCTTGCAACATGTGGTCGGGCATTATCTTGTTGGAAAGTTGGATCTGCCAGGGTGTCAAGATAGGGTAAAAGATGGGGTTCTAGAACTTCGTGGATATAACGCTGCGCGTTCGTGTTACCTCTGATGAAGATTAAAGGTGACCTGGAACCATAAGCTATAGCACCCCAAACCATAACTCCAACAGTGTGATGAACATGTCTTTCAACAAAAAACTGTGGATTCCTCCTTTCACCACGTCGCCTTCTAACCCTGGCACGACCATCGTGCATGCCTAAACAAAATCGAGACTCGTCACTAAAGACAATACTGTTCCATTCCTGATCCCAGAGTGACCGTTGTCTGCACCACTCAAGGCGATTACGTCGGTGTTCTCGAGTTAAAGGGAAGACCCAGTGTGGCCGGTATGAAAACAAGCCAAAACTTCTCATTCGTCGGTAAACACTTCGCATGCCAATAGGTCTTCCGTGTTCTGCAAACCATTCATTTGCAATGGACCTGGTAGTGGAGAAAAGGCCAATAATCTTAGGCGGCGATCTTCACGGTCTGTTGTTCTACGGCGGCGTCCAGTGCCCCTTGCTCTTTGCGTACGACCTTCTCGAAGCCATGCTTGACAACACCTAACCACAGTGTCTACACTTCTTTGCACTCTAACTGCAATTGCCCGAAAAGAAAGTCCAGCTTCCCGAAGTCCCACTATACGGCCCCTATCAAACTCACTAAGTTAACGAAATCGTACAGGTCTCCGTACTCTAGGCATCGTAACCGATCGTAAAGGATGTCAAGAACCAACATCCGCCAACGTTGATTCTTTACTGCAGCTGAAATATTCATTTTTAGAGCGTTAGTGAATTAAAAAAAAGCAGTATAAAAACCGGAATGTCCAACTGATAAGACTGAAAATTTTTTCACTTGTTATTTACAGTAAGATAAATACATTCACCAACTTTTATTAAAATAAAACCATTTAAACTGGGTGTTCGGATTTATATGTCACTTAGTATACTTTGGAATATTTTCACTATGATATTCATATTCAGCGCCCCAAATTACCTCATTGAGCAAAGCTTGACTTCCATGTAGTCATCGATAGTCCGAAAAATAGTTTCCTGTCAACTTTTCACCCTAAATCCAGTCTGATGACACTTTGGAATTCCCCCCCCCCATATAAGAGAACGTACAATTATGGTAATTATTTGAGCAAATAGCTAAACATAATAGAAGCCTAATACCACCCATCGGGACCGGTGTCCCTCAAGGTTCGGTTCTCGGACCAATCCTCTATTGTGACAAATAGCGTCATCTGTTGGGCGAGTCTCCTACTCGCCAGAGCTTAATTGCCGATCTCTGCTTGATCTCCAACATTCTAGATGTCGCTTTGTGATCTTTCTCGAAGCAAGAATTGGGACTATATATAACTCGGCGGCCGGGAGATGGAGGCAGAGTACTGAGTACGGTAGAGTAGCAGAGCGGAGTGGAGTATAGTGCTGGAAATGGTCACATAACAATTAGTCACACATAAATAGTGGTGTATCCAAATGTTTTATCCGGTTAACTAAATTAGTGCATTTCTTTTTGTGAAATCCAGTGTTTTAATCCACAATCAAAAGAACCCAGAAAACAATATCTAAACAACCAAGCCTGCCAATAATCTGCTATACTTTGACCAAGTGTAAAGGCTCTAGGAACTGCTGTGACAGAAAATGATGAATAGAAGACCACGAAGGCCGCTACTTGAACGGCTCATTAAGCTAGTTGACAGCGCCAGCCCCACGGTCAACAGGATCCATGTTGACGGAAGTACCTTTTTTAAGCACGATCATATGTTATAATCGCCCGGCCACGTTTCGTAACGATCATTTTCGTTGCAACGCTATTGTTACGCGCGATACCGCATGTATTTGGGCAGGAAAGTTATGAGCATGAGAGTTTTACTAATTTTTTCGTTTTGTTACAAGGGGACGTCGAAAAGTACGGGGTAACAGCGTACAAGTACACGTTACTGCCTACAACTTATGACAGAACGCTACCGGAAGAAGACGACTGTTACAAGGGAGAACCGACGTTGCCAAATGGCCTAGCCGATGTATCAGTCTGCTACTTTGGTAATTATTATACAAGAGACGACGCTTACGCATTCGACAAGGCTTGCTTAAGTTCATATCGCTACACTATCAAGCGATTGGAGCTTTAGGTTGTATTTAGCTTGAATTGGTAAAAGTAGACTTTAAAAAACGTTCCCTTCATTCTGACAGAATAAAGGTTTGCTACTTTGAAAACAGTTTGGTTGAAATAAAATAGTAAAACTCTTGATCGGTGGTAAGAGAGCATCAAATATGTTCTAGGTATATGTTTACTTAGAATAGTTCGAAAAAAATGATCAGCTTGTCAAGCATATCGATAATAATAATTAATAAATTCATTATTACTGTTTTTTTCTATGATACCATAGTATACTTTTGGCAGTCTCAGATACCGCATATGTAAACGTGATCATTGTTCTTATTTAACACTTGAAGTTATGAAAAGTTGATGACTATTGTGCCTAATGAAAATTTACATTATAGTTTACGTTTGCGATAATTGCGGAATATACAGGGTGGCCCATCCATGTGTGGACGGAATATTACTCATAAACGAATACATTTTGGGAAAATCTATTTATGGCATGATATACATGACATTTGAGGGCACATTTCTAAAATATTGGCAATTATACAGGGTGTCCCAATTTTGACCTGCACATCAAAGTTGTGATTTTTTAAACGAAATGCCTCCAATTTTATTGCAATTCAAAAGAAGAAGATTGATATAACATACTATGGAGTTTTGGTAATTAGCTACTGAGATGTAAGGTGTTTCGTCCAGAAAAACCGCCGACTTTTGAAATTTGGAATGCAGAGTTTTGTATCAAAAAAAAACTTACCTCAGCTTTTATCTTATTTGTTACTTTTCCGAATTTTCATTTTTTACTCCAGGAGTCCAAATAGTTACGCACACGATTATGATAATGCGCAACTGATTCGCCACTTGGATTATTTATACATTTTTTACTATATTCCACTGCTCCACTTGATTCAAAACGTTCTCGTACTGTGGAAAATGTGCCCAGGAAACTATTTCTTTGGGCGAAGCCCAAAACGAACACCGTATTCACCATTTCTTCTTTAGAAAAATTCGTTTTCAAACACGTTTTTATTATAATGCTCACAAAGCTAATTTTGACAATTTATTTGTTTCCAAGGATGATGCGATATTTTAGGGAGTTAAGCCGTTCCATAAAAAACGTGTTAATAACCGAAAAAATAGCCGTAAAAACCCTTATGTGTCTAGTATAAAAAAAAGCTTATAAAAAATTGAATCCAAACTTGCTCAAATATACAGGGTGATGCATTTGGAATTTTTGAGAAAAACTACAATTTGCGTTTTTGACCACCCTGTATGAGCAAAAATTGGAATTCTAAAAAGTAACGAATAAGATAAAAGCTGAGGCGTGCAAGTTTTTTTGATACAAAATTCAGAACTCCAAATTTCAAAATGGCGGACTGAGGTGTTGCCGAAGTGGGGGTTTTTCTAGACAAAACACCCTATATCTCAGTAGCTAATTACCAAAACCCCACAGTATGTTATATCAATTTTTGCTTTGATATGTAGGTCGAAATTGGGACACCCTGTACAATGACTAGTATTTTATAAATGGGCCTTCAAATGTCATGTATAACATTCCATAAATAGATTTTCCCAAAATGTATTTGTTTATGAGTAATATTCCGTCCACACATGGATGGGCCTCCCTGTATAATGCCTCTTTGACAGAAACTTAAAGCAAGGAATTGCTTTTCGATTTTTTCTCATTCTACCATTTTGCTGCACACTTTGAAGACAAGGAAAAGTTGCTATTCAACACGATGCTCTTAATATATAACTTTATGTTTTATTAACTATTAAAAGGGAAGAGAGAGAAGCGTCTATGCCAAAATCACCTATTGCACACTGCAGCAAAAATACTCATCCAAGGATCAAATCTTCTATACAATAACTCAAGTTTGTTCAAAACAAGGATTGAAAAGCTTATTTTATATACTAAGTGACATATGAATCCGAACACCCAGTTTAAATGGTTTTATTTTAATAAAATTTTGTATAAGTAATGTCAGTAATGTGTGGATACACCCTGATGTGCTACGCATTCTCCAACGCGCCTAGGCATGCTTCTGATCAGGTGGTCAATGTCCTCCTGAGGTATCTCATTCCAGGCAACCACCAACTCCTCTCGAAGTGCTTCTAGAGTCTGAGGAGGACGTTGCAAATTGAGCAATCTCTTACCCATCATATCCCACACGTGCTTAATTGGGGATAAGTCGGGAGATCTTGGTGGCCATGGTAACAATGTGACATCATTATGTTGAAAGAAAACTATTGTGACTCTTGCAACATGTGGTCGAGCATTATCTTGTTGGAAAGTTGGATCTGGCAGGGTGTCAAGATAGGGTAAAAGATGGGTTTCTAGAACTACGTGGATATAACGCTGCGCGTTCATGTTACCTCTGATGAAGATTAAAGGTGACCTGGAACCATAAGCTATAGCACCCCAAACCATAACTCCAACAGTGTGACGAACATGTCTTTCAACAAAAAACTGTGGATTCCTCCTTTCACCACGTCGCCTTTTAACCCTGGCACGACCATCGTGCATGCCTAAACAAAATCGAGACTCGTCACTTAAGACAATACTGTTCCATTCCTGATCCCAGAGTGACCGTTGTCTGCACCACTCAAGGCGATTACGTCGGTGTTCTCGAGTTAAAGGGAGGACCCAGTGTGGCTGGTATGAAAACAAGCCAAAACTTCTCATTCGTCGGTAAACACTTCGCATTCCAATAGGTGTTCTGCAAACCATTCATTTGCAATGGACCTGGTAGTGGAGAAACGGTCCCTTAAGGCCAATAATCTTAGGCGGCGATCTTCACGGTCTGTTGTTCTACGGCCCCTTGCTCTTTGCGTACGGCCTTCTCGAAGCCATGCCTGACAACACCTAACCACAGTGTCTACACTTCTTTGCACTCTAACTGCAATTGCCCGAAAAGAAAGTCCAGCTTCCCGAAGTCCCACTATACGGCCCCTATCAAACTCACTAAGTTGACGAAATCGTACAGGTCTCCGTACTCTAGGCATCGTAACCGATCGTAAAGGATGTCAAGAACCAAAATCCGCCAACGTTGATTCTTTACTGCGGCTGAAATATTCATTTTTAGAGCGTTAGTGAATTAAAAAAAAAGCAGTATAAAAACCGGAATGTCCAACTGATAAGGCTGAAAATTTCTTCACTTGTTATTTACAATAAGATAAATACATTCACCAACTTTTATTAAAATAAAGCTATTTAAACTGGGTGTTCGGATTTATATGTCACTTAGTATATATTATATCTTTTACTTTAATATATTTTGAGAAGAAAACAGACTGTACTTAAACTATAGCAACGCTTGCACCATTTTGGTTGCACATCAGTGCTTGCTCGAAGCTCACCATTCAATATGTGAATGACTTTTTACAAGATTTATCTACCTCATTTGTTGCCATTTTTCTAACCACCTTTTTCCAGACACCGCCATAGCTGCTAGTTTTCCTCACTACCTATATGGTGATGATGTCGTACAAAACTATGTGGAAGGACTAAATCCCGATGTAAAGAAACATGAGTCGTATGTAATAGTTGAACCGGTAAGTATAAAACTTGTTGCGTAAAAGGTAGTGAAAATTCCTGTAACATATCATCGCCATATCTACAAGCTTTTTTTGATATGACGTACGAGTTATCCAAGACATTGGAAGAGCAAGTAGATAGGAACAAAATACAATATTTTCTATTCTCTATTTCTTCGATACATTGTTCAATATCTCCACAATTGGAAAATAAAACCTTATAGTATGTTACATCAAATTATTTCGTTTGAAAGGTACTATCCAATTCTGCAATAAAATTAGAAAAAATATGATTGAGTCACCACGTAGTTATGAATAATCCTGTACAATGTTTGTATCCAGCTTTCTAGATATCATGCGTAATGACGGGGTTATCGACCGAGTCCGCACCAAAACATCACCCTGTATACGTGCATATAAAGCTTTCTCAAAATGGATCCAAAACTCGGAACCTTAAATATTGACATTCAATTAGAAAAAACCATGTACAACATAGGCTGGTATGATTGTTCTATTTCATGACCAGCTTGTTCTATTTCTATTATAGTCTGGTACCGAAACGCATCAGTCTATCAAAACACATCGCCACTGCTAACGCGTCTTTGTATAGGTCCGGATTCGCGCGTACGCCTTTGCCGATGCAAAGGCACGCCGCGCTGCCAGTAGCGTACGATGTACTATGCTACTCTCTTCCATTTTCGTAATCTTGTATAGAAATATAAATACTTATACGGTGAAACTTTACGGATCGACTAAGCTATATTTTTTATTTTTAGAATACAGGGATACCATTGCATGGTATAGCGAGATCCCAGATAAATCTAGTCATGAAGAATATGAGGGGTTTCAATCAGAAAATGCAAAAGTTCAGTGATATGTCCATCCCTCTTGTTTGGTTAGAATACGTAAGTATAATAATGCACTTCACATAATCAGCTTAGTCTGTAAAGATCAGATGCGCCGATATACAGGGTGTCCCATTTTTGAGCTTCGCAGCTAAATATTTTGAAAACTACGCATCCTAGAGAAAAAAGTTTCAAACAAAAGTTTTTTCGAGAAACCAAAAGGATGGTGATCCTGACCTTGACCATTTCGAGGTCAAGCGCATATTGTCAAATGGAGCTTCCTCTTTTTCACAACGGAATTGGAAAGAGGGGGAAATTTTTCTTCCGCATATGACCTTGACTATGATTCTCAAAGCCATTTAAAGTTGAGAAAAAACTTATCTAGCACAGCGGTGGGGTTTGTGGAGGTCACCTTTGGTGGTGGAGGTCAAATGGCAACATGACCTTGACGATTACCTTCAAGGTCACGTCAACATTTTATACGTTTAAATATAAAACTTCTTGCTCTTTGCAGCTTTGACATAAAAATCAAGAGTTTGTCTTACAAGTTACGTTTAAGCGGGAAATGACCTTGACCTTGAGTTCTAATATAAAATTTCCTGCTTTTTCCAATTCAGGATAAAAATGAGGAATTTATTTTGAAAAATTTTACTTGACCTTGGAAGATCGTGGTCAAGGTCACCTGTGGGTAACATCCACAAACCTGACAAGCGTGCTGACGAACATTTTTATTAAAAAAAATTGGTTTTTAATGTCTTTACTTTCGCTTGAAATAGCCTTGCCAATTGCGGTTTAAAAAAGGGCGGGTTCTATTTGAAAATATTCGCGTGACCTTGAAGGTCTTTGTCAATATCACCATTGTTACTGAAGAAATGTGCTGCTGCTATTTTTTGTACGTTCTGAATTAGATTCTTAGTTATTGTCAGTTGATGTCAATTCATATTTCATTTTTGCAAAGAAAACTCGTCCCTGAAAATGTTACTGAAGAAATGTGTTGCTGCTGTTTTTTTGTACATTTTTGCAAAACAGTCTTTCCTATTTCAATCATTATCACACATAAAAGCATTATACAGGGTGTCCAATAAGTACCACGACAAACTTAAGGAGAAAAAACTTACCTATATAAAATAAATATTTTGAGATATTCAATTTTTTCTTAAATTATAAAAGAACGAACCTTTTCATCTTTGGTCTTTAGCTGCATGTACAAATAAGGTTATACTTTGCTCATTTTTTCTATAAAGTACCACGTAGCTAGTTGCTTTATCATATACAAATGCAATGTATTTAAAATACGGGGTGGCGCATCGAAAACGAAACAGACGCATTTACTGGCAGGTCAGTTTTTTTTTTTTTTTGGAAAAACGCTCAGACCCGTCGATTTTGTTTTCGAGGGGGACACAAGTTTGGCAAAAAATCACGTTAACACGTGCAGCCCCCTGGGTGGGGGTGACACCAACCCTAAAATCTTAAATGGAAAGGGGGTCGAGTGATACCTTATTTTAAAGGTCCTTCAATTCTCTTTATAATGATGTAAAATACATGAGTTTCAGTTCAGTAGTTTTGAAGATTTATTAATTTTCTTACCTGGGAATCTTTCTTCAAGAAATAATTTTTTTGCCACAAAAAAATGCTCCAATAGCTATTTCCAACAAAAAAATGATAAACAAACCATGGGCGTAGTGAAGAAAAGCATTTACTTATTAAGCAAATTCTTTTAGTCAAATTTCTTCTGAAACTAGTATAAACTAATCTGATATACCTATTAAAGTCTACTTTAAGCTTTAAATCAATAAATCTTAAAAACTACTGAAGTGAAGCTCATGTATTTTTCATCATTATGAAGGGAATTGAAATACCTTTAAAATAAGGTATCACTCGACCCCCCTTTCCATTTAAGATTTTAGGGTTGGTGTCACCCCCGCCCAGGGGGCTGCACGTGTTAACATGATTTATTGCCAAACTTGTGTCCCCCTCGAAAAAAAAATCGATGGGTCTGAGCGTTTTTCAAAAAAAATCTAAGCTGCCAGTAAATGCGTCTGTTTCGTTTTCGATGCGCCACTCTGTATTTTAACTACATTGCATTTGATAAAGCAACTAGCTACGTGGTACTCTATAGAAAAAATGAGCAAAGTATAACCTTATTTGTACATGCAGCTAAAGACCAAAGATGAAAAGGTTCGTTCTTTTATAATTTAAGAAAAAATTGAATATGTCAAAAACGGTGACACTTTTATATAGGTAAGTTTTTTTCTCCTTAAGTTTTTTAACAACCATTATTTTGCAACCTCGAAACCCTACAACTTTGTATCAACCTTTTTCAAAATATTTAAGTGGAGAATCCAAAATGAGACACCTTGTATGGCTACGGATCATTCTCAATTACCCAGATTTGTTTTTTGCAGAATCAAGTAGGAATTCCCTGGTACATAGAATGGTTGATCTACTTCACCGTGGTGCTGGTGCCGATCCTCCAGACGCTGTTCACAATTTTCCTGTTCGTCACGAGTACATCGTTCATATGTTACTATGCATTCATCAGGATACAATCCAGAGATAATTTGCTCGAAAACAAGAAGCTACATTTCGAATCTGAAATATTTCTCAAAACTTGAATAAGAAAGTATGTCATTAGAAGCAGCTGTATGTAAAACGTATACCTATATACGAGAGGGTTTTCATAAGAAAAATGAAAAGCAGAAATATATAAGTTGACATGTTAGATTTGACCCTGACCTTTATTTGCATGCTCAATTCAAGGTCAGACCGTGTTTGAGAATCCGTCTCATGTTGCGTACCACAAAGGAAATAAGGTGGTTGATGTCGCTCCTATTTGTCAGCAGGCGATAAACGCCTAGGCAGGCAGCAACAAGCGCATAGAGGCGACGATCTTGTGCTCGTATTTGTTTTGGCGTTAAGTAAATGAGGTTTGAATTGACTTTACACTACTGTGCTGTCATATTCGACAATGTCATTGAGTGAATTTATTTTATTGCAAAACCAGCCAATTTATGCCTGAAATCAAATTTTTCACACGATTAAGGTGACAATAGTTAGAGTGCTTGATTCTGCTACTGTCTCGTAGATGGCGCTAGGAGCTTCAATCTGAAGATATCGGTGATCGACGAACACGGCGGTGTTGCCAGATTTTTGACACAATACTTGTAGGTTTCTGTATTTATTTTTGTCTTCTACCACTGTCTCATAGATGGCGCTGGGATATTTCAAGTCCCATTTTGGGCGCCGGAACACAAGGTATGGTTAGCTGTCTTCAAGACTTCAATACAATAATCCTTATTTTTAATACTGAGAGAAGAACATTGCTCTCATTTTTTTTATGTACACTCTCGTAAAATGCCTTTCCAGTGCACTTGTTGGAAACAAGCGAACATTTAGGTAGAATATCGTGTCACAGATCATAAGTGTTCTTTGGGTAATAAACGCAGTTCATGGAATCTAAATACGTCTTGTATGACACCATTGATACTGATTGTCCAAGCATATGTGGTACCATTCTTCAGACCTTATGAAGAACACAACGAAATAGTACAACAAGCTCTATTATGAAGATTAATGCACTTAAAGGACTCTACTGTGAGTTGTTTGCTTTAAATAACATCTTAACGACATTTTATAATCTAAAGGAAACATTTGACCAGCCTAGGTGGTCAGGGATGAATTAGCACCTATGGTCGTCATCATCATTATACAGGGTGTCCGCAAAGTTGCGGTTTTCCTTTTCAGAAATAACTACCCTTGAAATAACAAAGGTAATGTGTAGTGAAACGAGGGCGACCAAGTGAAAAAAAAATAAAGGAAAAAGTACTCAGTCTCCAGTTGACGAGAAGGGCTAAGTACGTCTCTGCCCGAAATCGTACCGCTCCAACAGAAAATGAAATCAGCTGATGCGCTACCGAGCAGACGCAGAAACCATATTGATTGTCTTACACTTAATGGCACATCTTCGAACAAGGAAGGCAAAATGTTGCGTAAAAAGTCTAGGTATCGCATCCCGTCCAATCGATTTGGGAGAATAAATGGTCCAATGAGCATACCGTTCACCATGCCAGCCCAAACATTCACCGAAAATGTTTGTTGAAAATGTGCCCGACGGACAGCGTGCGGATTTTCTACTGACCAAACATGAGTGTTGCGACAGTTATTCACCCCATTACGCGTGAACGTAGATTCGTCTGTCACCAATATGCACTTCAAAAAGTCCGGATTATTGTCATGTTGATGCAACAACCACTCACAAAACCGCACTCTTGCTGGAAAATCGTCAGCTTGAAGGGCTTGTACACGTTGGACGTGAAACGGATACAGCCCCTCTTCACGCAGCGTTTGCCACACTTTAGTTTTTGATACTTGCACTTCTCTAGCCACGTCTCTAGTACTTGTTGAGGGATTCTCGTCTACGCGATTACCTCTACACGCGTGACCGTAACCGTCGGTTGAAGGTTGCATACTGACCTGACACACTGACCCCGACCCAGTTCTGCCGTCGGGTTGAGACCTTGTACCAGTCGGGGATATCCCGGCGGGTCGCGGCTACAGGACGGTATTCAGATATTTTTGATGTTGCAGAGCCCTTTATCTCGGTTCCCTTAAAGCATTGGTGTATATGGTACTAAGAAAGACAAGATCTACACGTCGTGTAAAGGAAAACCCCAACTTTGCGGACACCCTGTATTGAAACCAGAAACCATAAGCTCATAAATGCCTAATTATATCGATATCAAAAAAAATTGCTGTATCTCCATAAATAGAATTTTCTTACGGGATCATATTGTGTTCGATGAAAATACTACTGTATTTCTTCAGACTGGATTTCGGTTACATAAGCTATAGAATTATCAGAGACGTGCCAGAAGGGTTCTTTGCCTTTTTCACTCCTTTGCGGCAATCCTTGAAAGGTCCAGGACGCTGAACCCCAAAATACACCACTGAAGTTTATTCGAAAGCAGATGTTACTCGATTTGTCGAAGAAAGCCTATGATACTGGGTGTCCAGGAATAAATTTCCCTTTTTAAATGCTAATAAAAAATTGTCTTGAAGTTTTAAAATTGATTTATTGAAGCAAAAATACGCATAATATAAGCGGATTTCATATTTTGAAAATTACATTGTAGAGTTGCCTTCCGATTCGGTCGAAACACTGCTGCAATGTCGTCTTCATGTGGTTAAAAAATAATTGATGTAATAGCTTTAATTTCTTTTCGAATTTCTTGTTTTAATCCTTGCAAAATCCTAGGCCGATTAACATAAACTTTACTTTAAAGGTATCCTCACAAAGAAAGTCCAATGGGATGAGATCTGGAGACCTAGCTGGCCACTTTAGGTCTCGAAAGCGAGAGATGGGAATCATTCTAAAAATGGAAATTTATTCCTGGATACCTTGTGTATGTAATCTAGCACATGTGAACTGTCGACTTGATCTTACGATTATTAACTATGTTACAGATCGTATTTTCCTTTACTGTAAGTTTTCTGACAAGTGCAACAGGAAACGCATGTATTAGATAAGTATGTCCAACTGTGATATCGCTTCGTCCTTTGTATTATTATTCAGTTTTGTTAATATTCACATTCAGTTTTTGTAGACGATAATTATATAATAGCCAAGGTGAAAAATAAATGACAGGTTCATCATAGCAGTTTTATTTAACAACGTATAAAAAATAACAACAAACATTTTCAACAATTTTAAACATCCCACGGTATAAACTATGCAGTCTTCAAATGAGACTAATAAGTGTTGTCTAGATACTAGAAATAATATAAGTTGACCGATTCCAAAAATAGCTGCTTGACAAAATATACACATCAATCCAGCTATATCTGAAATTGTAATACTCCATCCTTGAAAAAAATGAGCTTATATTTTACTGTAAAAAATAAAATATATTCTTATGCTAGCACCAAGGGAATGTGAAATATAGAATGGTACAGGTACACTCCCAATTCCGTAAGAAATTCGGTTGTAATGAATTTGTAACATAGTAGTAAATAAAAAAATATCATTATGAGGAGTTTCCATTTTCCAAAAAAAATCATTTTCGATATGTCATAACACGGATGCACAAACATGTTGGAAAAAAATGTTTTTAAAAAATAGCTACCGTACCGGTCACTTGAAGTGAAGATTTTACTGTATTTCAGTAGGATTTTGGAGCTTGTAACGAAATTCGGAGAAACTTAGTAAGAAAAAATTTTCTTTTTCCTAATACAAATTCATTATATCCCCAACATTTATGAGCAAATATATAGCTATGAAGTGATAGCTTTTGGCATAAACAATACCAGAACGTCTTTTTAGTTGAAGCATGTATCCTCTAACAATACGGACGGAGTGTTTTCATTGGCGAAAACTTTAATTACAAAATTTTGACCACTCTACTTCAGTCGTCAATATTTGAGACAATATACAGGGTGTTTCAGTTTATTGTTGCATAACTTTAAGATTCGATAGAACTTTTAAAATTAATGCATAAAGTCTATATAAACATGGGTCGAAAAATGCGTGGCTTCCGAAATACAGGGTGTTTAAATTTACTTTCTAAAATAGTTTTTTTTTAAATATTTCGAACAATATTTGATGTATAACAGTAAAAATTGGTATACAAGGGTTTTTTGGTACGAAAAAACGAACCATGGGCATAGTTTTACTGTGGCCGCTAGAGGGCGCTCTCTACTGTACCTGTAGTGTATTAAAATGACCGAAAATTTTTTCTTAGTGCAATTTTTTGCTTTTTGAATAAAAAAAATTATTCTTCGCACTTTTCAACATAAAAAAGCTCTCCTGTGAGTTTTTGTTATAGTTAGCCGTTTTTGAGATATTTCGATTTTTAAGGTTCGATGCATTTTTAAATATTTATGATAAAATAACGTTAAAAAGTCAGTATCTCGATAATTTTTGAAATCAGAATAAGGTTAAACGTCAATTAGTTGACAGTTAGTTTTGTTGTCTGTTGAAACCTGAAACGGTTTTTTTGCAATTGTGAATGCACGAGTTTTAGTTTCTTTTACCTGTCTTTTTTTTGTAAGTTTTATAAAAATGCAATTTTTATTCTCCAATCAAGAGTTAGTGGATATTCATTTTGTATGTTTGTCCTAACTATCCAATAGCAAATAATTAATTTAAATTGTTAAAAATAATATTGGAAAATTAAACAAATTAATATTCTGTTTTTTGTGTTTATTTGGAGTTAGGAATTATTGCTGTGTTTAAAGACACAATCTAAACGATCATCTTAATTACTTGTAATGCCCAAATCGAAAATGTAAAAAAAAATATTATTTTCCCATAAATATTTAAAAATGCATCGAACCTTAAAAATCGAAATATCTCAAAAACGGCTAACTATAACGAAAACTCACAGGAAAGCTTTTTTATGCACGAAAGTGCGAAGAATCAGTTTTTTTATTCGAAAAGCAAAAAATTGCACTAAGAAAAAAATTTCGGTCATTTGAATACACTACAGGTACAGTAGAGAGCGCCCTCTAGCGGCTACAGCAAAACTATGCCCATGGTTCGTTTTGTCGTACCAAAAAACCCTTGTATACCAATTTTCACTGTTATACATCAAATATTGTTCGAAATATTTAAAAAAAACTATTTTAAAAACTAAATTTAAACACCCTGTATTTCGGAAGTCACGCATTTTTCGACCCATGTTTATATAGTCTATATGCATTAATTTTAAAAGTTCTATCGAATCTTAAAGTTATGCAACAATAAACTGAAACACCCTGTATACCTATGATGTTAAAAAACAACATCCTGGAATGGTGTTTTCGTCTCTATACTAAGTGACGTATAAAATGGAACAACCAGAGTTATTTATTGAAATTTGTTAAATACCTGTAAATATATTTGCTATCATGGAAGTATGTATACACTGATAAAATGTTGAAGACATTCCAAGCCGTACTTTTTTTGTAAAGGCTTTTTTTCACACCAGGAACAATAACAATATGAAGATGTTTACTTGATATTCAGTGATTTTTCTGTGTTGTTTCATTGTTGTTTCATTGCATTATCGTGCCTAGAGTTCACAGACGCGCTAATTTCGCTCAACTTTCTAACACTAAGGTGGGATATCTCAGTTATTTTGCGAAATTTCGAGTTAAAATTTTAATCACTTTCTATTTATCAGTAGATCCAAAACTTGCAAAAGTATGCTCAAAATTACTGCACTCCCAGTCGTTGTTGCATTTACTATATTAAGGACTAGAATACGAAAATTCAACCAAGTGTTGAAACAAATGAAATTATCAAGATAACAAGTAATAATCCTAGTATAATCCACTGAGGTTAACTTACTATATATGGAATATAAATAAATGAACATGGACATACAAGGCTATTGTAGTTTAACTACATTGCAATTTTTAATAAATCGCTAATACCACTGTGTGGTAGACACATTCATAACTATAATAAACAGCCTTTGTATCATAGTTTGGAATCTGTTACGTCGCAGTTCTAACCACACTATGATGTAGATGCACAAAACTCATTTTGCTGTCTCGAATATGTGACGAAGTAAAACCTCGAATCTCGAATCAATAATTAAATCTTCAGAATCTCTTACGGTAATACAATGGGTACTTTCTTATTTTTATACCATTTCTTAACATAACATAAAGAGCAAATCTGCACGATATATATAGCAGTTACATTTTCTTGACTTTTCCAAAAGTGGCTTTGATACGACGGAAGTCACCAGAATTTGCTGAATATACAGGGGGTTCTGAAAGCTGGGTCTTTCTTTTTAGGAACAACTATGTTTAAAATAACAAAGTTAATGGACGGTGAAGCAGTGATTAGGTAAAAAATGATAAAGTTTGAAGTATCGCCCTGCCACCATGATGCTTATACAGGGTGCGTCCATCTATTACTTTTTTCTCTATTTGAAAAATCAACACGCTTTTTACGAGGTGAAATCGAATTTTTTTATTGATAAATGAAGGTTGGTTTATGCGATTCATGTATGAAAAATAACATCAGTTGTGTGACCACCGCGGCTTCGTTTACAGGCCAATATCCGAACATTAAAATGTTCAATGACTTTTCCCATAAAAATCGGTTCTATGGCCGCAATTTCAGTCCGAATATTGCGCCTTAGGTCTTGAATTGTCCGGGGACCATTCGCATACACTTTTCCTTTCAAAAATCCCAAAAGAAAATAGTCAAGAGGTGTTAAATCGCACGATCTCGAGGGCCAACTAAAAATCCGTCTTCTCTTTCCAGCATCCAACTAACAAAAACACGCCGCTGTTGATGGTCTACCGGCTTCAATTCTTGTGTTAGTTGGATTTTGTATGGATGGAGGTGTAAATCAATGCCATCATAACCAAAATGCGTTGTTGTGTTGTAAACGAATCCATGACTATAAATGTCATACCTTTGACAGTTCATTTATGCTTTTAACTTTTAACTCACATGGTAACACATAAACTTATAGGTAAAAAAAGTAATAGATGATGCACCCAGTAGAACAGTGTTTGAAGTTATCCCAATTTGATTCCAAGGTGTCCAAAGAAGGACTTAATCGAGCGCTTTGGCTGGAAAGTCATTGCAGATCCACCATACAACCCTGACATAGCGTTTCCTAAATTAAAGGAGCGTCTAGACGGACAACGGTTCGAGACGGACGAGCAATTGCAAGGTGCAGTTAGCAAGTTTCCAAGTGGATTCCACGTAGAACAAATGGCGACTGTATAGAAAAATAGCCTAAAGATCAACGCTTCCAATGGTATATTCGTTTTTTCAAATAAAAAATTTCTTTGTGTCTGGTACCCTATTTTTCAAACAACCCTCGTAGTGCGCTGTGGAAGCAGGACAGGATTTAGTTTAGCGGACTTTTTCGGAATTTATTATTCAAGAAAGTCCCAACTGTATTTTTCTTTGTCGTTTTCACTGTCGCTATAACCCATACAAATCATTACCAAGATCTGAATTGAAATGTTCCGTATCACATACCAGAGACAGCATGCTTACAAACAAGCGAAATCTGTTTTCTCTTCGAGGCGAATCCTCTTCAATCTGAATATGACGGATTGTTGCCTCCAAGCTACCTGTTCAGCCTCAGCTGATGGTAACCCTGATTTTGATCAGACTGTCACGCCTTGCAAATCATACAATTGCGACTCCGACATTCTGCCCGGTCCTGACTCTATCTGTAGATCGTTGTTGTCGTTCCAGCCTTCTCTGTCTCACTCTCAGCCATTTGATGATGATCACTGTAGTGAAGATGAAGGCCATGATAGCGTTGAGCAGTGATCCATATTGGAAGGCCAGTTTGACCCCTTTGAAGGTGAAGGTTGTCTGGTAGATGATGTCGAGGAAGTCCTCTGGGAGGCGATCTTCTTCTAGATTCTGAAAAAGACGGGAACGCTGATTAATAAATATACTAAGTGACAATAATTCCGAACACCCAGTTTAAATGGTTTTATTTTAATAAAAGTTGGTGAATGTATTTATGTTACTGTAAATAACAAGTGAAAAAATTTTCAGCCTCATCAGTTGGACATTCCGGTTTTTATACTGCTTTTTTTTAATTCACTAACGATCTAAAAATGAATATTTCAGCCGCAGTAAAGAATCAACGTTCTCGGATTTTGGTTCTTGACATCCTTTACGATCGGTTACGATGCCTAGAGTACGGAGTCCTATACGATTTCGTCAACTTAGTGAGTTTGATAGGGGCCGTATAGTGGGACTTCGGGAAGCTGGACTTTCTTTTCGGGCAATTGCAGTTAGAGTGCAAAGAAGTGTAGACACTGTGGTTAGGTGTTGTCAGGCATGGCTTCGAGAAGGCCGTACGCAAAGAGCAAGGGGCACTGGACCGTGAAGATCGCCGCCTAAGATTATTGGCCTTAAGGGACCTATTGGCATGCGAAGTGTTTACCGACGAACGAGAAGTTTTGGCTTGTTTTCATACCGGCCACACTGGGTCCTTCCTTTAACTCGAGAACACCGACGTAATCGCCTTGAGTGGTGCAGACAACGGTCACTCTGGGATCAGGAATGGAACAGTATTGTCTTTAGTGACGAGTCTCGATTTTGTTTAGGCATGCACGATGGTCGTGCCAGGGTTAGAAGGCGACGTGGTGAAAGGAGGAATCCACAGTTTTTTGTTGAAAGACATGTTCATCACACTGTTGGAGTTATGGTTTGGGGTGCTATAGCTTATGGTTTCCAGGTCACCTTTAATCTTCATCAGAGGTAACATGAACGCGCAGCGTTATATCCACGAAGTTCTAGAACCCCATCTTTTACCCTATCTTGACACCCTGGCAGATCCAACTTTCCAACAAGATAATGCCCGACCACATGTTGCAAGAGTCACAATAGACTTCTTTCAACATAATGATGTCACATTGTTACCATGACCACCAAGATCTCCCGACTTATCCCCAATTGAGCACGTGTGGGATATGATGGGTGGGAGATTGCTCAATTTGCAACGTCCTCCTCAGACTCTAGAAGCACTTCGAGAGGAGTTGGTGGTTGCCTGGAATGAGATACCACAGGAGGACATTGACCACCTGATCAGAAGCATGCCTAGGCGCGTTGGAGAATGCGTAGCACATCAGGGTGCATCCACACATTATTAAAGGTCAAAGGGCTTTAAAGCAGTGCAATCATTTTGAAATTTTTATCATTTACTTATTATGCTTCATTAAGTTAGTGAATTAAAAAAAAGCAGTATAAAAACCGGAATGTTCAACTGATAAGGCTGAAAATTTTTTCACTTGTTATTTACAGTAAGATAAATACATTCACCAACTTTTATTAAAATAAAACCATTTAAACTGGGTGTTCGGATTTATATGTCACTTAGTAGAGATAAATTTATGTATACGGTTTTTAAATTAGATCGACACCATGGGATAAGGATACGAATTCGCTTAAATAAGGGCAAAGTAAATTCAAAATACTTCCGGAAGATCCAAATTTTTCCCAAGGAGTTTCAATTTTTTCCCGACTTCCTTTGTAGTGGAATTTCAGAATAAATTGACATTGCCAAGGAGAAGATTCACCGTACACAACAACCAAGCGCTCGTTGATTTCGCTGCACGATTTACCTACGAAAAACAAGAATCGAATCACCGACCGATAATGCTCTTTTTCCATTTTTCTAAAATGCGCGGCCAAACAAAACTACGAGTCCAATTCGGCTGAAATTTTGACAGTAGCCGCTTACGAGATAGTCAATTCCTCTTGCGATAGTACCAAGTACTAATCGGATCGCCCTCGTACAAGGTTTGTCCGGAAAGTAATAGGACTGTGTCGATTTAAAAAAAATTATTGAGCCAATCGTTACAATTCTTTAAAAACTTTCAAAATAGGCTCCTTCTGCGTCGATGCAGCGCTGCCAGCGCGATTTCCAAGCATTGAAGGTGTCATAGAAGGCATTCTCCGGAATAGCCTTGAGAGCTGCGGTGCATGCTGCTTGGATCCCCTCTGTCGTCTCAAACTGCTTGCCTTTCATCGGCCTTTTCAGGCGGGGAAACAAAAAAAAGTCCGGGGGCCACATCTGGGCGGTAGGGCGGCCTAAAACGCTAAAATATAGTACTTACCACATTGAACCAGGCGATGGGCAAAACCTGGTCTGCTTCAAATCTTCCCAGCTGAGCGATCCCGTATGATTTTTTCACCATAATATTCACCTGGATGACGGTTTGGCCAGACATCAGGTAACCAAATTGTGGATGAACGTACACGATTGATTCGGGTAGGTCCGACCGATTGGGCTGAAGACCTCTGATGCTCTCCGCCAGCTTTCTATCACCGCCCTTGAAGTGGGGCTTGGAGATGAAGAGCGGCGCTCCTGAAACAAAGAAATGAAAAATTGGTAAAAGGTGTCAGGTATGCAAATAGTTGACAAAAAATATTGCTCTTTAAAAAATGTCCTACACGGCTCAACTACGGAGATACACGCCCCTGACTAACCCTGTTTTCCGTATTCTTCTTGAAGAAGACTATACAGGGGTAAACGTTATGATAGTCATTATTTAAATGGTGAAAAGAAGCAAAAAGTTTCATATAACTTGGAAGTCTAAACGGCATTTTTTTAGAGAACAGCGACTTTAAAGTAAAATAAAATCTGACCCAGTTTCTTCTTACTCTAGGTCCTCGAAGTTGTCCATTTATTATTTCAGCCGTATTAAAAATTTATTCGCGAAGTTGTGCTTCAGTTGTTATTGGACCAGCCTTATAAACCGTCCCTTTAAGTTCTCCTCAATCACCAGAAATCCATAGGATTGAGGTCAGGAAATCTTGCTGGCCATTTCGAGGATCAGGAGCACTTCGACGGATCCAGCGATTTGGATAATGTTCATTCAAATACTGAATGGCGCCTCTAAAAATGTGTGGTGGTGCCCCGTCATGAAGAAACCACAAATTCTGTCTCCGTTGTAAGGTCTGTTTCAAAAGTTCTGGTAGGTTATTGGCTAGAAAGGTAACGTATCCTTCTGCTGACAACTTTGTGGGTAACTCGAAAGGGCCAATTACCTGATCGTCTAGAATACCCGCGCAAATATTTATTTTAAAACGTTGTTGGAAATGACAGTAGATGTTCTACGCGGGAACCCGACCAGAGGTGATACAAAACAGCCGATGGACGGCTGCAAGTCGACCTTATCGGTGTAGGATTCTATGGACTATGGTATGCGATAGTCCTACGCGGCGGCCTAATTCCCGAGTGCTGATATCTGCATTGGTTTCCACTGTATTTAAAATTTGTTCCTCCTGCTCTACAGTAACCTGTCTTTCACGAGTCTGGGTGTACCCGTTGGCGAAATTTGAGCTGCAATATTTGAATTCTGACGAGCTTCACCGTAAACTAACAACATTTCGGCGAACTCTTGATTCTAGAACATTGGTAATAAACACGACGACGTACGCGAACAATAACTAACCACTGCTATTGTTTGCGATCGATTGCCGGTTCGATAAGAGTGATGAATGACCGACGCGCTGTTGTCATGTGTGTTTTAAATATTTAATTTAAAGAAAATTACTTACTGACTACAAATTTTGGCTTAACTTAGAAAAACTTAATGCCATTCATTTGTTAATTACCCAATTTAAAAACGTTTTAGATTACAGCACAGACAGAGATGAAAATAATGGCCGATTGTTCTCCACCGGTAGAACCAATGAAATCAAAGACGCGCCTCGACCGGCAGACTCATAGGCGTCGGCAACGCATTGGAACGTGTTTCGTTGAGCGATCGCATATTGTGCGTTTTTATAAGAATTGTTGTGTGATTGTTATTGTTGTGGTTTCTGTGGTTACTGTTTTGGTTATACTTAACCATGGAGAGTACAAATGGCACGAGTGGAAGTACTGAAAGCCAGGGAACAAGTAGACGGCTTCGTAAAGCACTGAAGAGGGACGCGAAAGAAATCGACAAGCAAGCATTGAAGGTTTGTCAACAGGTCTTCGTGGACCGTCAGGGAAAGGTCAAAGATTGATCGTAACTCATATTGGTAGCGATAGTGGCTTTTTAGAAGAGTGTGACTTGATTTTCGTCTCTAAGAAAGGAGGTGATTACCATGACGAAATGAATGCCAGCTGCTTCGAGAGCTGGTTTCAAGGGGTGCTTCAGCGAGTTGAGCCCAACTCTGTGATCGTCATGGATAATGCTTCCTACCATAGTCGTCGAGCCGAACGTGTACCGAATATGGGATCTCGAAAAAGTGACATGCAGCAATGGTTGCGCGAAAAAGGAATCCCGTTTGACGATTCATGTGTGAAAGCGGAATTGTATGAAAAAATTAAACAGCACAAACCTGCGAACATTAGTTACGTGACTGATGAGATGGCCCGTCAATGTGGTGTCACTGTGCTGTGGTTACCGCCCTACCACTGTGAACTGAACCCAATAGAGCTCATCTGGGCTCAAGTGAAGGGTTATATTGCGCGCCATAACACAACCTTCAAATTACCAGACGTTAAGGTTTTACTTGAGACTTCCATACAGCTAGTAACGCCCGAAGCTTGGCAGAATGCTATCCGTCATGTTGTGAAGGTAGAAACAAAAATGTGGCAGCTTGACCACCACATCGACACCATCATAGAGCCAATTATAGTCAATTTCAACGAGGAAAGCGATAGCGACAGTTTATTACTGTCAGATGTAAGTGGAAGCGACGATGAATAAAGGTAATTCCCAAATTTTTGACTTACAATATGTTTCAAACCACTCTTTATTAAGCATGTGACAAATCTGGTTCGCTCATGTTAAACATTCATACCCCGCCTATGAACAGCCGACTACTGGTAGTTAAGTGATGTTCACGTGAACATCGATGAGTCATTACAGTTTTAGATAGTCATAGTATAGTATTTTATATTTACTTACCTAAATTGCAGGCTGTAGCGTTGATGAGACCCTTAGGAGGACACGCTCCAGCTTCGCTGCAGTAGCATTGATTCTCGGGATATTCATCAGCCGTCTGAAACACACTTTGAGGCTGTTTGTACTTATAAGCGGAAACTTTTCCGTCCAGAATCGACACCTCTTCATCAAACTCCATGGGCATCGCGCGACAAGCTGGTAGGAACAGGTAACGAACAGGTTTCTTTGCCTGGATCAGGTTGGGTGGGTAGTTCACGCCCTCAGTCGCGCTGATTCTGGAAAAGATAAATAAGTTATGAAATCTGAAACTTTCATTACAGTACAAAAGAAACATCGCTTTATACATAGTGCAATCTTTTGAATCCAATCTCAACGCGGTGTCATTAAGAAATTACTCACCTGTTACACTCATTCGTGGAGAAATAGTCCAGTTCTGTTTCACCATTCACCTCTTCAACCATGCCAACCCTGTTTATGTCAGTCTTTCCCGTATTCACCGTGAGTTCGTCTTTGTTCACTCCAACATTCTGAAAATTGGAAAATATGACGTATAAAACAACTGAAAAATATGTCCAGGACCACTAAATAATAATAGAATTTTCGTTCAACGAACTTCAAAGTTTCCGTAGTCATACGGTCCGTTGATAAAGAAGTATTACGCGCAAGGAGGTGAGAGATCTGACCACCGCCATCTACCAATGGTTTGCTGAAGAATACGAAACAGCGGTGTGTATGGTTGGTTGTGGTTACAGAGACGGTAAGCAAGCCTGATACTTGATCCAAAGGGAAAAAAGCGATTACTAATTGCCTATAGAGGTACTTAATGTTCGCCTTTCTGCTTTCAATAAATTGGTTTGAACGTACAAAGTTTGAGAGTACATATTATATATATATATAACTTGAGACGTGGTCATTGTCGTCTAGATCAGTTAGGTGAAAAATTAAAGCTTCCGCCTTTTGTTAGGTACTTCGACAAAATTTAAGCAAAGAGGACTCTTTATACTTTTTTAATTCTCTCTAGCTTTCAATGGACTTTGCCATCATCATCAGGAGCTGCAATTACAATGATAACAGTAGCAACAATAGTGTAAAATGAATTTAGATTGACTTAACTTACAGTAGTTTGTGAGGATGTTGCTAATAATTAGCAACAATTATTGTTGTTTACGTATATAATATATATATATATATACTCGTATATTAGGGTGGCGCATCGAAAACCAAACAGACGCATTTACTGGCAGCTCAGTTTTTTTTTAAAAAACGCTCAGACCCGTCGATTTTGTTTTTGAGGGGACACAAGTTTGGTAAAAAATATCACGTTAGCACAAGCAGCCCCCTATGCGGGGGTGACACCACCCCCAAAATCTTAAATGGAAAGGGAGGTTGAGTGATACCTTAGTTTAAAGATCTTTCAATTCCCTTTATAATGATATAAAATTAATGTACTTCAGTTCAGTAGTTTTGAAGATTTATTGATTTAAAGCTTAAATAAAACTAATACATAATCATTAGTGGAGATCAATACATTTGGCAGCAAAGTAATTTAACTTATTTACTTATTAAGTAAATCCTTTTAGTCAAATTTCCTCTGAAAGTAGTACAAACTAATCTGATGTACCTATTAAAGTGTACTTTAAGCTTAAGTCAATAAATCTTCAAAACTACTTATAAAAGGAATTGAAAGACCTTTAAAATCTGTTTCGTTTTCGATGCGCCACCCTGTATATATACGTTATAGACGAGAGAATTATTCATGTGACTATCGTAAAAATCTTCGAATTCGAGATATTTCGTTGGCGTTCTTTGAGTCATTCCTATGGCTCCGAACGAATTTAGTATTAACTATTTATAAACAATTTTGTGTTTGTTTTAAGTAAATAGTCGCAAGAAAGGCATTAGTTGTAAGTCAAGAGGTAAGTAAACTTAGGTATTTGATACAGTCATGGAAAAAAAGGTTTGTATTCAACGCAAATCACTTGCAAGTCCAATAAAAATTGACTTCAAATAAGTGAAACGAGCTTTGGGGAAAAAGGTTTTGTTACCACAAGCACGGGACTTCGTCTAACGCTGCCAATCTCGATCTATAACCAGACCCTGCATCCCCGCGTTACTAAATCCCACTAGTCGGAAGGCAACTAGCAGTGTTGCAATATACACTTCTTATGATATTCCCAATCTGTCTCGCTAACACAGTGTATACTAACCGAAGAGAGCAATCCCATCTTTTCGGGAGCGTCGATGTTGTTTATTCTTTGGAATCCCTTGGACATCTCGAATAGCTTATCATCGTATCCCATAATGAAAGAGTGAGCCGATACGGTTAGGAAAGGCTTGACATCCATGCCAGCCAATAATCCTGCAAATCCCAACCTGGCGAAATAGTTTTGGTTCTGTACCATCGCTGCTCCTGTCTGGAAGAAGAATGATTAGATTTACTCGTAATCTGCATTGTTATCTACGTCTGTTGGAACTTTACCTCTACATACGATAATTTACCGCGATCTATTTTTATTTATGTCAATTTTGCTGGTAACAGTGGATCTGATCAAGTTTAGTTCCACCGATTATTGATCAAAATTAATGTTACAGTGGACCGCCGATAATCCGGCCTCTATCTAATCCGGCGCCCCCTGTAATCCGACATGTCTTTGAATTTGTATTACGTACATACGTATTTGACAATCTTCGCTAATGTAGATCACGCAGGTTTGAACAGGTTACAACTTGTACGCGGCACCGCTATCGTGCTCGACGCGTAAGCATTGTTTTACTTACAGTATATTCAGATATGAGATAGACCGGATGTAAACAAAAGGTTCGGGTGATTTTCACGCTAACGCCGCCGTCTCGACGTAAAATAGGAGCCCTCATTGGTCAATTCGCAATTAAATGCCTATGCCGAGCGGCAGAGCAGTCGTATCAAGGCAGAGTCACATTCAGGTTCAGACGTGTTACGTATGTCGTGTGCATCATTGCAATTTGATATTTCTTTGGACGTTTTCGTTTGTTATCTTATTAAGTTGTTGAGTTTGTCGTTGTTATTGTTATACCTTGTTATTGATTGTTATTGTTATCAACTGCTTGCGCAAAATGCCCAGTAGTACAGATACTGCCGATGAAGTTGTAAACTCTTGTAGTCCACCTAGGAAACGCTCTAAAAAAAGACACCTGAGTGCAGAAATGAAAGAGGTCATTTTGAATATATATAAGATCGAGCGCCAGGAGAACGAGGCATCAACCATCAAAGAAATTGTTGTGAAGGTTTCTCACAAAGTTGGGGTGTGTCGCGCATCAGTGTTTAATGTGTTAAGACAATACAAAAAAAATCACACCTTTTCTGAGCCAATGACCAGTAAACATCGCAAAAGTATTGTTAAATCATTGGATGAAGCTGATAAGCATGCAATTAGGAGGAAAGTGCATGAATTCTTCTTTAGGAATGGAATACCTACTATAGATAAAGTACTGCAGGAGTTAAATGGAGATACAACGTTGCCAAATTTCAAACGATCAACTTTCCATGCGTTACTGAAGCATTTAAATTTCAAATGGAAAAAACGGGGTCGTAATAGTTTACTACTGGATAGAGAAGAAATTGTGCTATGGAGGAGGGATTATTTAACAAAAATTGGGAAATATAGAAATCAAAACAGGAAGATTTATTACCTTGATGAAACGTGGGTAAACGCAGGACACACTACAAGTAAAGTATGGGTTGATGATTCTGTAACTTCATCCAGGAGGGCCTTTTTAGATGGACTGTCCACCGGATTAAAAAATCCAGCAGGTAAATACGAGTAATAGACAACAATCGGATGTTTTTCAAACCTTGGGAACAAGGTTCTAAACATTAATTCCAGGGGGCAGATAAAACATATTACAAGTAACAAAACTTTTATAACTTTCGATAAAATGCGTGGATGTTTTATTGTCATTTTCATTTGTTAGAACTTTTTTAAGCCATGTTTTTATGTGTTTTCGATATTTCAATAATTTTTTAATATAATCTTAAAATATGTCGAATATTATAAACCTAAAAAAAGTTACTAAGTTTTATATTGTGTACCGTTCCTAATATTTCTAATCATTTTAATTCATACTTTAAGCTTTATAAAGTTATAATTTGTTAATATTAATATTTGCACGTATTTCAGGTTCCTGATCATTCATTTTTTAAAGGTTTATAACTTTAAATTAAATTGTGAAGCGCTGAGTAATCATACGACGTTCAATATTCGTTCTTTCAATATGACTAAATAATCCCAATTATAGCAATCTGATACTCATGTCTCAATGTTTTTTCGCTGAATGTGATAAAAACATTTGAAAAAGGTTCGCTTATTGAAATATATCTACACCTGTTAGTACTTCGATTACCAGGTAAAGGGAAAAGGCTCATTATCTGCCATATTGGCAGTGAGGATGGATTTGTTGTTGACGGTCTGTGGTGCTTTGAGTCTAAGAAAACTGGAGATTACCACGAGGAAATGAATGGCGAATCGTTTGAACAGTGGTTTTCAAAAATTTTACCGAACTTAGAGGAAAACGAAGTAATTGTGTTGGATAATGCGCCTTATCATTCTCGAAGAATGGAGAAGGTCCCAACAACGGCTTCAAGGAAAGTTGATGTTCAAAATTGGCTCCGCTCGAAAAATATCAACTTTGAAGAACCAATGCTGAAAGTACAATTATTAAGAATTGTCAAGGATCACAAGGCGGAATATCAAAAATACGCCATTGACGAAACGGCAGCAAGTCAAAATAAAACTGTGCTCCGTTTACCTCCATACCATTGCGAGCTCAATCCCATTGAGCTCATATGGGCAGAGGTTAAAAATTATATAGCTAAGCACAATACAACTTTTAAATTTTGTGACCCCAAAGGACTTTTCAAAGAAGCACTAGAGCGCAAAAATGGGAAAACTGTATTAAGCACGTGAAAGACAAAGTTGAAAAGAGAATGTGGGAACTGGACAATATTTTAGAGGAACAAGTCGAGCCATTCATTATTGACGTTGGTGCTTCAGGCAGTAGCGATGATGAAAGCTCATCAAGCTCATCTTTCCAATAAAAGATGTCGTTCATCAAATTCGGTAAGTTATAAGTAATTATAAAGCTACTGTATTTTTTAATTAATTATTGACATTTTTGAACCCATTTTGGCAAAACCTATTCAAGAATCTACTTTCTGACAATGTTCAACCATGCACATTTTTTTACGTTTTGAACGTTTTAATTTGGTTACATATTTACCTAGAAATCAAAAAATATACTAATCAATATTCTAAAAGTAATTTTAAGAGATATACGATTATTTTTAATTTAGGCTAATTTAAACGCCATTTTGAGATTATATTCGACTGTATTTCACCAAACACCAGGCGGCATCCGAAGCTGGAAATCGAAGCGAAAATTTTGAAACCCTTATGTATATTTACATCATTATATATTGCTTACCCCACCCCCACATGATCCTATATCCATCACCAATCGTATACACATCGAATTGTGCTAATTTACTACAAAATTACGCAAAACAGCATCTACTATCTAAAATATGTACTGCGTGACTCTTAATACGTCCCTGCCGAATGTTACAGCGTTCGATGATCACGTAGTCTTGTTTATGTCCGGTCTATCTCTTATCTGAATATACTGTAGAGAGCTAGAGAATATAAAAAAATCCAGCACGTATATTTTTGGGAAACCGCTTTTTTCCATTTTCCCTAGCATAACTGCCTGTTGATAAAAAAAAGCTTAGCTGGGGGCTGGAAATTGGTCAGTATAAGGTGACATCTACCGGCGATGATTATCACTCTGCTATCATTAGTTAACTAATACAGTAACTTGTTTTAGTAATTTTTTATTAGATACTTACAAAAACTGCCATGTTGGGAACAGTGACTTGATCACTCTGCTTTCCTTTGGACAAGTCAGGACGAAATTCGTAGTTCCTCTTGACTCTATAAGACACCTTATCCTCATGAAACTCTATGTCCACTTTTTCACTAGATTCCCTGCAATAAATAAATTAAATATAACTGACTGATGTATCATTAACATATACGCTTTGACAGAATATCTTTACTCAATCAAAAAATAAACAGCAACACAAAAGGCTTTAATTGAAATCTTGAATATTTATGCTTTGTAATGGTATAAATCGAAAAAAATTATCTCAGCGGTAGATTTAAATACAATAATACTCTTGAATCGACAGACAAAATCAAAGGTGAAGAGATGAAAAAGGCTTTTGTGAAATAAGATGTAACTCTGAAGACTTTTGACCTGTTTCGGTATACTTCTTTAATATGCATATTGATAGAAATAACATTAATTCCATTGCTCTGTTCCAATGAAGCCTATGGTACAGTACAAAAAAAACAATATTTACAGCTTTAGGTACTTACTCGTACACATAGGGCCCAAGCTCTTCCACGTTTAGCTTTTTATCTAAACCAACCATAAAATCTTCTACATTCGTATAATTGAAGATGTGAATCTTATATAACGGTTTTGGAGTAGGCTTTTTCCACATAGAGTATCCATCAGATTTATTTGATATCACCAGTTGCTGAAAAATTACAATATGTATAAATATTTTTGAAAAATAATGAAGCCCATGTCTCACAATCATGCTAAAAATAATACCGAAGTGGCTGTTTATTTGAAAGTCCATGATATGACACCCTTTTTCTGAGATGCAGTTATATTTCCGAAACAACTAACATTCTATCGAAATAAGACACCACATAGTGCCATCTATTATCAGAATCAATCACTGCGAAAGTAGCGAGTAGACCTGGCTGACAATGCGAACTGGGATACAGTTTCAATACGCAATGGTCGATTCTGGTGATAGATAGTAGCCGGTAATGTTTTGCCGTCGCCACCCCGTTCGCCGGATTTAAATCCCATCGAATATGTGTGGGGTATGATGGGGAGGAGACTATCCACCACAGACTCTGCCACATCTAATCCACGAAGTTTGAATTGCTTGGAATGAGATGCCGCAACCAGACATCGATCATCCCATTTTGTCGATACCTAGACGTATACAGAGGCGTATCCAGCTGCGGGGTCTCCCGTTACGTTATTTTTTTTTCTCTTTTCTTATCAATAAAATTTCGGAAGAATGCTATCGTTTCATTCTTGATGTAAGACTACCTCGTTGCCAAAAAATCAAGTTGATGAAATTCTATTTTTTCTAATGACACTCGTCAAGGAGATATTTAAAAGTATGTGGTATCAGAAACTTTATGCTATGCTATTTTTAGATGCTCTAGAAATATCGTCGCTTTTGAAATTACCCTATATATCCAAATGCGTAAATATAGTGTAAAAGTGTGATTCAATATTTATTCAGGTCATCCGTCTGTTTTCATGCGTACAATTATAGGAAATACTTACAGATAATGCGTAGTTATCGAATACGTCTGTGAACCACATTACCAGGAAGCCGTAGAAACTGAGCAGTGTGAAAAGGCATAGACCCGCTGCATCTGGAAAGAAAGATAAATATTAGCTCTAAATGTACTATGTGTATAGCGCAGCTAGGTTATTCATCGAACAATGAAATTTTTGCAGATAGCAATTACGCACAAAAATTCAAACTTATTTTCACTCCTTCATTGCAATTGCTTTCAGCACCACGATTAGTGTTCATTCGATGTTGAAAAATTCAGCACACCCTCCACAAATATTCCTAATTCAATCAATGCCGCGAAGACTTATCGAAAGTACAGCGAACAGAGGAGCTGCAACACATTATTAACATTAAGTCGTCAAACAAATGAATATTGCAGTGTTTAACAACCTTTTCAATATCGGAGATTTATAAAATAAAAAGATGTGGCCCAAGAACCGACCCTCGAGGCACTCTCGATGACATTCTCGATAATCTGATGCCTCGTAACAAGATCACATAAGTCTCCAACATCACAAATCGCATATGTTCGAGCCAATCAGGGATAAAGGCAGGGAGACATGACGATTGAAAGCTGTCTACAATGACGTGCTTTACCTAAAATTTATTCTTGTAGATAAACTGTATCGGCATTACTTAATAAGTAAGTTACTATCATGAACATATCTAAATTTAGCATCTGTTCGCTTTTGCCGACGTTCAAATGATAACCTTTCGCCCCAGACAGTCACGCCACTGCTACAAGAGGACGTCAATATATATATATACACGATTTAAATTAAGCTTAAGCATCATGAGCTTTTCAAGCGTTATTCCTTGTCCATTTGTTCTATGGCACTTTCGATTTTCTCTTGCTAGTCTACGTTTGATAGTTGGGGCATTCTTTTCTTTTTTGTGCTATTCCATTACTCCACCAATATTCTGCTTGCGCTATTTTACCACGTTGGTAAGCCTTGCCCAAGGGGTTGTCACATGCTGTTATGGCTACGTTCTCCAGCAGTTGAACTTTGTCTTTGATATCATCCAGTTTTGTGTTCCATAGGGGTAATTGCAGATTTCGGGGAATGTTTCTAATTTAGCTCCATTTATCTTCTATCTGCTGATCTTATGTGGCCAAGAAGTGTGGGTTGTTAATTTCATCAGGAAACGGAATCTTAAGAATCTCAAATTTGGTACACAGCTATGCTGAATACGCAAAAAAGATGTACGGGTCTATTTATTAGAGTCAGTCCACTTGACGCTATTGTTTAGATAATTCAAGATGAGATGTAAATAATAACAGTTAACGCGTGATCTTTCGGTAACAGGTGGAGACAACGCCTCTTATTGGTCAATTCGCCATTAAATTTCAAGCGGTCGCCTGGCGGAATAATGCGCGGGCCAGGGGCAGGGCAGGCAGAGTTGCATTCAGGCCACCGACCGTCGCGTGTATCACTGCGTGCTCGTGTTTTCGTATTCACCTTGCTTGGTTGTTGCTGTTAAGTGTATTTGAGTAATTTGTTGAGTTTCTGTTTGTTATTGTTATTCCTAGTTATTATTTGTTTTGAACCAATCCTGAACATGTCCAGTACAGATACTGCTGACGAGGCTGTAGGCTACTCCCTTAGCCCTCCTAGAAAGCGATCAAAAAAGACATCTTAGCGTAGACATGAAAGACGTCATACATTCAAGATAGAGCAGAAGGAAGACGAAACATCAGCTAACCCGAAAATAGCTCTGAAAGTGGCAGATAAAATTGGGGTATGCCAAGCGACAGTGTACAATGTTTTGAACGAACATAAGAAAAAGCATGCCTTTTCCAAGCCAATGACGGGTAAAAATCGCAAAAGTATCATGAGATCGTTGGATGACGCTGACAAGCATGCGATTCGGAGGAAAGTGCACGAGTTCTTCTTCAGAAACGAAATACCGACAGTTGATAAAGTACTACGGGAGGTTAACGAGGATGCTATGTTACCAAATTTCAAACGTTCGACTATTCATAAACTTTTGAAGCATCTTAATTTTGAATGGAAGAAACGAGGTCGTAACAGCTTACTTATGGATAGAGAAGAAATTGTTCTGTGGAGGAGAGAGTACCTGACCAAAATTAAATCATTCAGGGATCAGCACAGGAAGATCTATTACCTGGACGACACCTGGATTAACGCTGGGCACACTACTCCGAAGGTATGGGTTGACAAAACTGTGACTTCATCCAGAAGGGCATTTCTAGATGGACTGTCGACCGGATTGAAAAATCCAGCAGGTAAATAGATCGAAGTAGTTCACGGTATCAATTTTTGCGCACAATCTTCGTACCTACAAGACGTGCATGTGTACTTAGCGGATTTTATCTTTCTAGGCAAAGGAAAACGGCTCATTATTTGGTGTAGATGGCTTATGGTCTTTTGAGTAAAAAAAACCACTGACTACCATGAAGAGATGAATGGGGAAGCATTCGAGAAGTGGTTTTTAGGCATTTTACCACGTCTCGAAGACAATTCTGTGGTTGTTTTGGATGATGCTCCCTATCATTCTCGCAAAATAGAAAAAATCCTAACTTCAGCTTCTAGGAAATCAGACATTCAGAACTGGCTCCGTTCCAAAAATATAACTCTCGACCCTTCCTTACTTAAATTACGACTATCAGATATTGTGAAACAACACAGACCAAGACATGATAAATATGTCATAGATGAAATGGCCAAAGCACGCCACAAAACAGTACTCCGTTTGGGCAGATGTTAAGAATTTTGTTGCTGCACACAATACAACATTTAAATTTTCTGACATGCAAGAGCTGTTCAGAATTGCTATACAGAGGGTCACACCAGAAAGATGGCAAACATGTGTGCAGCATGTTCAGGAGAAAGTGGAGGTGCAATGTGGGAGCTGGACAACATAATTGAGAGAGATTTTGAATCCATCATCATAAACATTAATGACGATAGCTCTTCAAGTGAGTCTGAGTAAGTTTCGCGTTTTTGCCACAGAGTACATATTATAGGAATCCTAGTTATAGTGAAATATTAACTTACAGATAAACTACAGACAATGCAAGTCCGAAGTGCACCTTCAAAATCTATTTTCAATTGATTGAACAACCTTATATTTATTCCATGTACAAAAGTGTCATCTGCACCCCTCGTTGACTACGGATTCATTGTGCATAGTGAGCATCTGGTTACCTCTGGTATGTATTTTTCCATGTTGTCTAGTTTGAAAAATCTGTAGAAAAACTTAGCACCCCTTCAAGAATAAAAATTTGATTTTGCGACACCCTTAACTATAACTACTTCACTATATTAGATAAGCATCCGTATCTTAAGTTAAAAAGTAGACTACTAAATTAGTATTCACTGTAAATATTTCAAAATATCGGAGAAAAGCCAAAAATATTTAAAACCAGAGGTGTTCAAGTTACGAGCGGGAAGAGGTACGTCCGTGGACCTGTTGGCGATAGTTTCCAGAGCCGTGGGAGTAATCTTCAGCCTTTTTACCATATATTCCATTTTGTCATTTGGACATTTCGTCAATAGTGTCAAATCAAATTAAGAAACTAGTCTACAGAGTGTATAGGGTAATCCGGAAATAACCGCTGGAATAAGGGATCATGAGTCAGACTGTACGAAAGAAGAATAAAAACATGAAAGATCCTGAAGATGGGGATAATGTAAAAAAGTCTACCCCTACCGACACTCTCACCCTTATACTTAACCAATTATCAACTATGGCCAGTGACATAAAGGATATTAAGAACTCTCAATCTCAACTCAGAACTGATGTTGCTTATTGTAGAAACTTACTACAGCAACATTCGGACTCGATCTCTCGGCATGATGACTTAATAGCGGCCTGCGAAACCAACATACAAAATATCCAGGTTACTCAAACAGAGCTGTCTTCTAACATTGCTAATATTGAATCAAGACTTGCAAGATCTATGGAGACGATGCACTCAGGCAACGGCGCTTCTTCTACCCCTATTGCCCCAAGCTCCCAAGCTGAGACAATGGAGTTATTTAGACGTTCCCACAATATCATTCTGAGGGGCATAGCTGAAGGTAACGATGACATAAACATAGTATCAGAGATAATTAGGCATATTGAACCATCTGCCGAAAATCACCGACTCAGCATCACTCGCCTTGGCAGAACAACTTCAAGCAATCGTTTAATTAGAGTTGTGTTTACCTCACCTATTATCGTCAGCAATATTTTGCGGAAGAAAAACTCCATCCTTAGCCACCCCACGCTTCGTCTCGTAAAAATCTCTGACGACAAAACCAGAGGTCAAATGCAAGAACTACAACACCTTCGGGAAGAGCTTAGACGTCGTCAAACAACAGGCGAAAGTAATATTACTATAAAATACGTTCGTGGTAAACCTTCTATAGTACACACAGCTACCCAGGAGATCACACCTTCAAAAAACTGATAAATTCTGTGGCAAACTGGACGGTTTGTTACACTAATATACAATCTCTCTTTTCTAAGCTACTTGAACTCCAAGCATTTGTTCGAGACAATAATCCAACGTTCGTTTGTCTTACTGAAACATGGCTCCATTCCAACGTGTCCGACTCTTCCATCAATTTGCCTGGATACTACATATTTATACAGAATGGATTCACCACGCACTCCTGGTTTTGGTGGAGTATGCATTTATGTTCGCACGGAAATCGCGTCGGCTTTCTCGATATCTCCCTCTTTCAGTCCTTTCGATGGCATTGACAATCTATTTTTGGAATTGAGGTGCCCAAATTTCAGCTTCACGATAGGCTGCATATATCGGCCACGGCCCTGTTTGGGAGACACACACCTGTGCAGTCTCATTTCAGATCTCTTAAATAAAAACACCAACCTTTTCATAGCTGGTGACTTCAATCTACGTGACATTAACTGGCCTATGTCAACCATTCCTGAATGTAATTCTTCTTCTGCTGCTTACATCGACCTGCTACGCAACTCCAGCATATCTCAACTTGTTGATCGTCCAACGAGATTCAGGGAAGGACAGACGCCTAGGGCTCTGGATTTGATATTCGTTAACGACGCAGACTTTGTTTCTAATTTAGATTATTTGCCACCTTTTGGCAAGTCTGACCATTGTTCACTTTTATCTTCTCTCCAGTTCAATATAAATAGTCGTTCTACAACCGATAAGTTTAAAACCATCAAAATTGTAAACCACGATGCTCTTAACCAAGCCCTGTCTGAAGTCAACTGGCCTGCTTTGCTTAACAACCGTAGGACCCAAGATATGTGGGACACTTTCGCTCAACGAGTCCTAAGCGAAACGGCTGACAGTATTGTTGAAAAGAAGGTATACTGTGACCCCTCAAAGCCCTGGATCAACTCTAACATATCGAGGATGCTTCGTCACAAGAGATCTTTGTGGCAACGGTTTAGGAGGAGTGGCCATTCACAAGATTACGTGTCTCATCGATCCTTTTCTAACCTCGTATCTAGAACGTTACATAATGCCAAACATGCTTATGAACGAAAACTCGTTACCTCCAAAAATAAGAAGAAGCTGTTTCGGTATCTAAGAACAAACCTGAATTCCAAAGTTTCATCACCTCAGATCCGCGACGCTGACGGTCATCTCCACATGGATGCCACCGAATCTGCCAACTTACTGGCACAGTCCTTTAGTGATGACTTCGTCGATGAGCCTAATGGAGACCTTCTACCGACCACTATCTGCCATAGGTGTCCCAACAGCCTTTGCGAAGTTGAGTTCCTGCCTGAAGATGTATTAATGCACCTGCGAAATCTGAAGACGTCTTCCTCCCCTGGTAAAGATGGGATGACGGCTGCTGTACTTAAAAACTGCGCTTCAGCACTGGCCCTACCATTAAGCTTGATATTCACATCGTCTTTTAGATCTCATACCCTACCCTCATGCTGGCTTAGTGCTTCTGTTACCCCTGTATTCAAAAAGGGCGACAAATCCTCCGCTACAAATTATCGACCAATAAGTCTCGTTCCTATCGCCGCCAAAATAGCTGAAAGAATCATATTAGATAAGCTCCAGTCATTTGCTTTCGAAAATGACCTTATCCCTAAGAATCAGCATGGATTTCTCCCTGGTCGATCAATAATGACCAACCTTCTCCACTCTCTCAACGATTGGACTCAGTATCTGGACACAAAGACTCCTGTTGATATAATCTACTTAGATTTTTCTAGGGCTTTCGATCGCGTACCACATAGAAGGCTTCTGTTTAAGTTGGAATGTATGGGAATAAGAGGCGAGTTGTTACTGTGGATTAAGGCTTTTCTCACCGGGAGGACTTTCTCTGTGCGCGTCAGTGATAGCCAGTCTCACCTTCATCATGTAGCAAGTGGAGTTCCTCAAGGCTCTGTCTTGGGGCCAGTGCTGTTCCTTCTGTATACAAGTGACCTGCCCGCATTGATTTCCTCCACATGTTCAGCTTATGCCGACGACACCAAGATTTACAATACTGTCGTAAATTCTGCTATGCTTCAACGAGATCTTGATATTGTTTGTCAATGGTCAGTCAGTTGGCTTTTACCCTTAAATCTAACTAAGTGTTGTGTCCTTCACCTCGGGAAGACAAATCCGCGATTTACATACAAGATCTCTGACCACAACATCGAAGCAGTTTCGAGCCACACTGATCTGGGCGTTGTAGTCAACGATCGTCTTTCCTGGTCAGAGCATATTCACCACGTTACATCAAAAGCCAAGAAACTTCTATATATGCTGGAGAGGTCTTTCAAAGGATCCGATGTCAACACTTGCGCCTACATTTACAAGGCATTCGTGAGGCCAATTCTTGAATTCGCTGGCCCGGTATGGGACACTGTGCTTCTGCGCGATAGAAATCTCGTCGAATCGGTACAGCGTCGGGCTACTCGTATCCCTTTTGGAGCACGAAGACCAAGCTATGAAGATCGCCTTGAATTATTCAACCTGACCTCATTCTCTGAGCGAAGACTTCGTGGCGATCTTATAGTTACGTTCAGGATACTTCATGGTTTGATGGGCACCAACCTCATGCATCTATACCATCTGTCGCGCAGCAATCTACGCGGACACAGCTTCAAACTGCATAAGGAGCCATTTAAAACAACAGTCCGACAGTGGTTTCTTCCCAACCGCATACTCAACACCTGGAATAGTTTACCTGAAAGTGTGGTTGGTGCTACTTCAGTTAATAGCTTCAAAGTGCAGTATGATAGCTGGAGGAGTGTACAAACTTTATAGCTATGAACTGTATTTTTTTATTTTTTTTCTATTTGATGTATTTGTGTTTCGTGTCCGTACACTATATTTACTGCATGAGCTTATAGTACTGTGTACTCTGCTCATCTCAATTATCATAATAATAATAATAATAATAATAATTTCGTTAAATACTGTCATCTTTGTTTTACAACACGTTGGTGGTAGTCCATCGTGTGGAGGTAGCCCTGAATGCGGCCCTGTACGCCGTCCTTGCTTTTGGCAATCACGCATCCATTCTATCTTCGGTGTAAATACACTATAGATGTTAAGTTTTTTGTGTATCCAAAATTCTTAACTATGTATGTCTGAAGGACTTGGCTTCCGGGCATGTGTAACTATAGACAGTAGAGACAGCTGATAAATATGGTAACCGCAGACGAGGAAGAAGTATAAAATGGTCGATGGTACGACACGATAATTAAATGTGATCCTTTAAGAAGTGAAACAACCTATTAAATTTTAATTTTGCCATGAAAGATAATATAAAACAAACAGCAATACACTATATATCAGTTATGTATCATTAAATGGATGACTTTGCACACACACAAATACAACTGTAAACAAGAACCAAAAAAACAGCCAAAGTTTACTAAGAAGAAGTATAAAAACAAATAAAGCACATGAAATAACGGTAAAGATATTTTAATGACAATTAAAAAAATCTTTAGATCTATTATATATTATTTTTGTCGACAATTCAAAACTAATATCAAATGTCAAACAAGAATCCTGGGAACAATTATACTCTATAAATAATATAGACAAAGCAATGGGACTGTTCATAGAGAAAATAAAAAAACTAATAGATATTAGTACCAATAAAGTAATAATTAGTCACAAAGAGAAAAGCAGAAATGCCTGGATTACCAAAGGATTAATAACATCGGCAATAGAAAAAGAAAGACTATATAATGTAATGAAACTAACGCCAACTACAGAGAATACCGACTGCTACAACCAATATAAAAATAAATTTATAGAGCTTGTAAGGCAAACCAAACGAAAACATTACCTAAATAAATTGAATAATAACTTAAATGATCCTAAGCGGCTTTGGACAACTATTGATGAGATTACTGGGAAAACAAAAGTTAAAGAGTGTGTCACTGAGTTAAATTCAACATCGGGAACAGTATTAAAAAATACTCAACAGATATGCGATGAATTTGTACAATTCTTTACTGACATAGGCGAAAATTTAGCAAGTAATATACAAGCAAATGTACAAAATACTCAGCCTCCAAAAAGAACTTTGAACTCATTCATTTTGGATAATGTCGAGCAATGTGAAGTATACACCACTGTTATGTCCTTAAAAAATCGGAAAAGTCCTGGGTTCGATGGTGTTAAAAGCGAGCATTTGAAAATAATAGCCGAGGACATAACAGAACCACTCACTTACCTAATCAACAAATGCTTTGAATCTGGCATATATCCCTCAATTTTAAAAAAAGGTAATATAATACCGATACATAAATCAGGAACAAAAACAGATGTTAACAACTATAGACCAATATCAATAATATCCAGTGTAGCAAAGGTTTTTGAAAAAGTTTTATCTACTAGAATGATTCGATACCTCACAAAATTCAAAATTTTAAGTGAAAATCAATATGGATTTACAGAAGGGAAGACTACATCGGACGCAATAACGAAAATTGTAAATCAAATACATCAAAATATTGATAACAGAATCCCTGCAATCTGCATTTTTGTTGATTTAAAGAAAGCTTTCGACACAGTTAATCACAAATTATTATTAGAAGCATTGGAGAGAATTGGTTTCAGAGGAAACGCGTACTCACTGATCGAAAGTTATTTGTCAAATCGCCCACAATCTGTGCAGATATCAGGATCATTTAGTAAAGAAATGTATATTAAGTGTGGTGTCCCACAAGGAACTGTCTTAGGTCCGCTGTTATTCAATATATATTTAAATGATATTTTCCAAATTAATTGTGTTGGCAAAATAACTAGTTTTGCAGATGATACTGCAATATTATATGAAGGCACTGACTGGTCTGATCTGAAAAATGTAATTGAAAATGATTTTATCAAAATTATTCAGTGGTTTAACACTAGAAAATTAAGCATTAACTACTCTAAAACACATTTTTTACCATTTGGATCTTATGCTAGACATCTGCCAAATTACACAAATTTCTCCTTCAATATTAATGATCAAAAAATGCAAATTAATAGAGTGCCCAACATAAAATACCTTGGAGTGGTCTTGGATCCTCACTTACGATGGAACATCCATGTCAATTATATTTTAAAGAAAGTTAGATTTGTATCCTACAAAATTAAATACCTTGGGAATATATTGACAGAAAAATATCTTCGAACATTATACCATGCACTGATTGAGCCTCATCTCACATATGGTATATTAGCATGGGGAGCTGCATGTTCCTCACATATCTATAATTTAGATGTTTTTCAAAAAAGTATTCTAAAAATGATATTTAAAAAACCGAAACTTTATCCCACTGAAAAATTATACGCAGATGTTCGAATGTATGACATAAGACTTTCTATTATTTATTTCTTACACAGTATCACTCACTACCATAAATTTGTAAACACCGACCAAAAAATTAAACATAATCATTATACCAGGTACAAAATTCGTGGCACAGTAGTTCCTCAACCGCATAAATCTATAATGCAGCGATCATATCTCTATTTAGCGCCTAAATTTTATGAAATTATACCTAAAGACTTAAAAGATTTACGTTTCGGAAATTGTTTCAAAAGAAATTTAAAAAAGTGGCTACATTATATATCTAGGACTGAAATTCATAAACTCATAAATACGAACATCAACTAAATACATAATCTACTGTAGCTAATTTTTGTCCTTTTTTGTCATTTGCATTCTACAGTTTCAACTCAAATTATTGGTCCATGTACAGGCGATGCCTTCTATTGGGCCTGTTTTGATTTTATATTTATTTACTCATATTGTTTGTTATCTTTGTACATTGAGTGAATAAATATTATTATTATTATTATTATTATTACTATTATAGTAATTCAATGATCTTATTAACAATTTAACCAGCGGAAAACGTTTACGTATTGATGGCAGATTGAAACACATCTATACTTGATGAAATGAAATTAAAAATGGAAATATGCGGAGCCAATAATAGCCTCCTTCATTGAGATATGTAATGAAGTACTGATCTTACCCCGTTTATTTATAATTTCATATGAAAATAAAAGAACATTTTGTTAAATTAGCATCTATCATGCAAGGAACAAGATGCAAAAAGATGCTAGGTTCAATGTAACTTCTCAGTATAATCAAGCCCATTACAGAAGTGTTACTAAAAATGATGAGCTATCAACGCAGATGAATATATTTTTTAGAACTGTTAACATTGACACCAGCGATAACCTTATTCACAGTCTAGACGCGATTATAGATATTATTTTACAATACACCTCGGATCACCAATTTATCATACGTATTATTGATGTTCAATAAGCACATCATCGGTTTTCTGAAAGCTTTTCGTATGAACAGATCCGGAGCGAGGAGTTTTACATAATAATATAAACGTTTCTGAGACGGGTAAAAGTTTGACATTTCATCTCCGTTGACAGGTAACAAAATGTCACTTTTTATGGAATTTCTTTTTCCCGGGAAAAATGAGTACTTTTTGAGACGCTACTTTGGCTAGATATTGTAATAATATAATTTTTCAATATTAAATCGTCGTTTTTCCCGTCACAGAAAAAAATTGTGTATTATACACGGGAAAAATATTAGATTTTAGCTAGTACTTTTTTCCCTTGTGTAATAAATAACTATTAATCCACTTACTACGATTTGCTGATGAGACAAACAAAGATGAAATGTACGATGAACGTAAGCAAGAAAATAATACGTGACTTTGGCATACTCCATTTCAGTGTTTTAGATAAATATGCTTTATATGCCAGTGAACATTTTTGAAACATGTAAAGCCTGTTCAATCCAAAGTGTGGGTAGATTTTATTCTTATGATTTTAAATTTAAGCTTTGCTTAGCACAAATAAATTATATACTAAGTGACATATAAATCCGAACACCCAGTTTAAATGGTTTTATTTTAATAAAAGTTGGTGAATGTATTTATCTTACTGTAAATAACAAGTGCAAAAATGTTCAGCCTTATCAGTTGGACATTCCGGTTTTTATACTGCTTTTTCTTAATTCACTAACGCTCTAAAAATGAATATTTCAGCCGCAATAAAGAATCAACATTGGCGGATTTTGGTTCTTGACATCCTTTACGATCGGTTACGATGCCTAGAGTACGGAGACCTGTACGATTTCGTCAACTTAGTGAGTTTGATAGGGGCCGTATAGTGGGACTTCGGGAAGCTGGACTTTCTTTTCGGGCAATTGCAGTTAGAGTGCAAAGAAGTGTAGACACTGTGGTTAGGTGTTGTCAGGCATGGCTTCGAGAAGGCCGTACGCAAAGAGCAAGGGGCACTGGACGCCGCCGTAGAACAACAGACCGTGAAGATCGCCGCCTAAGATTATTGGCCTTAAGGGACCGTTTCTCCACTACCAGGTCCATTGCAAATGAATGGTTTGCAGAACACGGAAGACCTATTGGCATGCAAAGTGTTTACCGACGAATGAGAAGTTTTGGCTTGTTTTCATACCGGCCACACTGGGTCCTCCCTTTAACTCGAGAACACCGACGTAATCGCCTTGAGTGGTGCAGACAACAGTCACTCTGGGATCAGGAATGGAACAGTATTGTCTTTAGTGACGAGTCTCGATTTTGTTTAGGCATGCACGATGGTCGTGCCAGGGTTAGAAGGCGACGTGGTGAAAGGAGGAATCCACAGTTTTTTGTTGAAAGACATGTTCATCACACTGTTGGAGTTATGGTTTGGGGTGCTATAGCTTATGGTTCTAGGTCACCTTTAATCTTCATCAGAGGTAACATGAACGCCCAGCGTTATATCCACGAAGTTCTAGAACCCCATCTTTTACCCTATCTTGACACCCTGGCAGATCCAACTTTCCAACAAGATAATGCCCGACCACATGTTGCAAGAGTCACAATAGACTTCTTTCAACATAATGATGTCACATTGTTACCATGGCCACCAAGATCTTCCGACTTATCCCCAATTGAGCACGTGTGGGATATGATGGGTAGGAGATTGCTCAATTTGCAACGTCCTCCTCATACTCTAGAAGCACTTCGAGAGGAGTTGGTGGTTGCCTGGAATGAGATACCACAGGAGGACATTGACCACCTGATCAGGAGCATGCCTAGGCGCGTTGGAGAATGCGTAGCACATCAGGGTGCATCCACACATTATTAAAGGTCAAAGAGCTTTAAAGCAGTGCAATCATTTTGAAATTTTTATCATTTACTTATTATGCTTCATTAAGTACTTATACAAAATTTTATTAAAATAAAACCATTTAAACTGCGTGTTCGGATTTATATGTCACTTAGTATAACTAGCACAGTAGAAGAATACAGAATATCGAGGATAAGGAGAAGTAACACTGGCGTTGTACGATTATTGGTAAATAATTTCTCAATTTTCAAGAAAGCTGGTTCTTTGTCTCTTGTCTACCAATTAAAAAAAATATATTTTTTAAATCTGTCTGTCCGCTAACCCTTAGCCCGTCTATAGCTTGGAAACTACCCCTCGAATTTGGATGAAATTTTCACACAAGGTTCCAACTACGCCATGGACGAAACAACTATGCAGTTTTTGAAAATCGGTGCAATAGCAGCAGAGCTACGGGACAAAGACGAAAAAAAAAATAGAAAAAGCTCAAACTTCGTTTTTTGACATTTCAGAAAATGACTCCTCGGGGTTAAAAATTGAGGATTGTAAGACGATGAGGGAAGGTATATATAAATTTTCAACTACTTGATGCCTTTTTTTTTGTTTTTTTTGTCCCTAGCTTCGTCGTCTCTACAATTCCAGAACCTCGGGGCACTTAAACGCTCGATTTTGATATAATTAATGTTCAGATCAAAACATTTTGATTGCCCCGTTACAGACCTGTACAAAGTAGCCGAAATATGGAAAGATTAATGATGATTTTCTAAGAACCTCTCGTTGACCCATCACAGAAGATAATAGAGAGGCGCCTCATATCACAAGGAGCATTCATTGGAAAAACAAAGTTTTAAATCTGTTAAACGGCTAAGCATGGCGAATTGTGATGACAGATGTTGCCAAATCAGGAAAAACTACATCATTATTACATTACAATGATACTAATTTAAAATAGAGTCATGAAGTAAACGATTTTTGTTGTATACATACAAATCATTGTAGTACCAGTCAATGATGTACTGTTGCGCAATATGTAATAATATCAAATAAGCAAAATGGGAGCATACAAATTTCACTTGAATATTGTTTAAATTATATTAGTTTGGCACTCAATCATTTAGTGAGACGTATGTTTGTTAGACATTGCATTAAATTCTGTGGAATGGTGTCGGCATACTTCACTCTGTTATTTTTCTAATACGAATTGCTTTAATTTAATTTAAGCATAACTTAGCTCTCTTAATCCAGCTGTCCAGCTCCAACTGAATCTGATGGTAGTTAAGTCGTTTTTGAAATGATTTTTTGAATAATTTAATATATCGAAAATTACAATAATTAAAATAACGCGAACTTCATTGTATTTGAATCATTTCATCGTCAGTAGATATAGTGATAATTAGTGATGATATGAAAAGTAAATGTTTCTTCAGTTATCAGTTTCATATCCCTGACCTAGTATCAAGCTTACAAATAGCCGCGAAATCGATTTTTTATTGAAATTTTGGTTAATCGGTAAACGAATCAAGGTCACTGATACCACATGGCTCGTATATGCCATGCTAAATTTCTGTATAGTCACCGTTCTTGACGGATCAAAATGAGACTTCCAGTATCCCTTTATATACCTCCATCTACGTCATACATACACATGCAACCTACCCCCGTGTATGAACGTTTGCTGGCGTTAGCTAGGAAAATTAAGATCCGCCCATGGTACGGAGACTCGACCTGTTTACTTATTTCATATGGCGTTGATGACGTTGCCGCTAAAACGGTGACTACAACTATACCTTCTTGAATATCATTTTTTTTTTATAATATTTATTCACTCAATGTACAAAGATGACAAACAATATGAGTAAATAAATATAAAATCAAAACAGGCCCAATAGAAGGCATCGCCTGTACATGGACCAATAAATTTAAGTTGAAACTGTAGAATGCAAATGACAAAAAAGGACAAAAATTAGCTACAGAAGATTATGTATTTAGTTTATGTTCGTATTTATGAGTTTATGAATTTCAGTCCTAGATATAGAATGTAGCCACTTTTTTAAATTTCTTTTGAAACAATTTCCGAAACGTAAATCTTTTAAGTCTTTAGGTATAATTTCATAAAATTTAGGCGCTAAATAGAGATATGATCGCTGCATTATAGATTTATGCGGTTGAGGAACTACTGTGCCACGAATTTTGTACCTGGTATAATGATTATGTTTAATTTTTTGGTCGGTGTTTACAAATTTATGGTAGTGAGTGATACTGTGTAAGAAATAAAGCTGTCTTATATCATACATTCGAACATCTGCGTATAATTTTTCAGTGGGATAAAGTTTCGGTTTTTTAAATATCATTTTTAGAATACTTTTTTGAAAAACATCTAAATTATAGATATGTGAGGAACATGCAGCTCCCCATGCTAATATACCATATGTGAGATGAGGTTCAATCAGTGCATGGTATAATGTTCGAAGATATTTTTCTGTCAATATATTCCCAAGGTATTTAATTTTGTAGGATACAAATCTAACTTTCTTTAAAATATAATTGACATGGATGTCCCATCGTAAGTGAGGATCCAAGACCACTCCAAGGTATTTTATGTTGGGCACTCTATTACTTTGCATTTTTTGATCATTAATATTGAAGGAGAAATTTGTGTAATTTGGCAGATGTCTAGCATATGATCCAAATGGTAAAAAATGTGTTTTAGAGTAGTTAATGCTTACTTTTCTACTGTTAAACCACCGAATAATTTTGATAAAATCATTTTCAATTACATTTTTCAGATCAGACCAGTCAGTGCCTTCATATAATATTGCAGTATCATCTGCAAAACTAGTTATTTTGCCAACACAATTAATTTGGAAAATATCATTTAAATATATATTGAATAACAGCGGACCTAAGACAGTTCCTTGTGGGACACCACACTTAATATACATTTCTTTACTAAATGATCCTGATATCTGCACAGATTGTGGGCGATTTGACAAATAACTTTCGATCAGTGAGTACGCGTTTCCTCTGAAACCAATTCTCTCCAATGCTTCTAATAATAATTTGTGATTAACTGTGTCGAAAGCTTTCTTTAAATCAACAAAAATGCAGATTGAAGGGATTCTGTTATCAATATTTTGATGTATTTGATTTACAATTCTAGTTATTGCATCCGATGTAGCCTTCCCTTCTGTAAATCCATATTGATTTTCACTTAAAATTTTGAATTTTGTGAGGTATCGAATCATTCTAGTAGATAAAACTTTTTCAATAACCTTTGCTACACTGGATATTATTGATATTGGTCTATAGTTGTTAACATCTGTTTTTGTTCCTGATTTATGTATCGGTATTATATTACCTTTTTTTAAAATTGAGGGATATATGCCAGATTCAAAGCATTTGTTGATTAGGTAAGTGAGTGGTTCTGTTATGTCCTCGGCTATAACTTTCAAATGCTCGCTTTTAATACCATCGAACCCAGGACTTTTCCGATTTTTTAAGGACATAACAGTGGTGTATACTTCACATTGCTCGACTTTACCCAAAATAAATGAGTTCAAAGTTCTTTTTGGAGACTGAGTATTTTGTACATTTGCTTGTATATTACTTGCTTAATTTTCGCCTATGTCAGTAAAGAATTGTACAAATTCATGTGCAAATAATTTTTTTATTAGAATTTTAATGTGTTTCGAGAAGGTAAGCAAAGTGGAATATATTTTTGTAAGGCCAAAGTATCCCAGTTCTTCACCACTGGTGTATTTTGAGAAACAAACATCTTTATGTTATTTTGTTTCTCGATTTCGCAATTAGAACTTTTTTACCCTGTAGTGTTTATAGAAAATATCCGAGATATTTTTGAGATTACTTTTTTAATTACCTTGATCGCTTTGCATCATAGTCTCGCTTGAAAGCTCTCAAGCTTGAGTACTTCGTTTTCTTATCTATCATGTCAATATTTACCAATACACCGAGATAAAGTACAATCCAGTCTGATAATCGCACATGATGGCTAATCCATACGATCAGATTAAATTTCTTCTGATGCTTGGCATACTTTTTAATCTCTATTTTTTGCATACTTGATAGCTGTTATGTATACGTATGTCACTGTACGAAGACATAAAAGACAAATGCTTATTGTAAAATACTGGTGATTTTCCAAGGCAGGTGATTTATTGTGATAAGAAATTGCGTCTATTGAGAGCGATTGGCGATTATTATATGAAAGGGTTGTCCAATAGGGACGCAGAAAAGTAAACGTCAATTATGTTAGTTGAATGTTTACCATTGATCGCTATGAAGTCGTATTCGATTGAAGACCGCATTAAAGTTATTCAAGAGCACTACAAAAATGGTGCAAAAATAAAAAACACGTTTCGCGCGCTTCGTGAACATTTCGGTCGCAACAACCGCCCAAACGAAACAACCATCGGTCGTCTGGTGCGTAAATTCGAGGCAACAGATTCTGTGGCAAATCTGCCAGGCTCTGGCCGGCCAAGGAGCGTTCGCACACCGGAAAATATTGCTGTTGTGAAGGAGAGTGCGAGAGACGATCCGAAACAATCAACGACGCGTCGATCCCAAGAATTGGGCATTTCGAGAACCAGTTTGCTCCGCATTCTCAATAAGGATTTGAATGTACACGCCTACAAGATCCAATTGACGCAAGAGCTGCGTCGGGCCGACCATTTTTCGCGCCGAACGGCTCCTTGAACACCGCCAATCATCAAAAATCATGTTCAGCGACGAAGCGCATTTCACTTTGAATGGGACGGTAAACAAGCAAAACTGCCGCATCTGGGCGAACGAAAATCCCCGTGAGTATCAAGAGCAGCCGATGCATCCTCAAAAAGTGACTGTGTGGTGTGCATTGTGGTCAAAAGGCATTATCGGACCTAACTTTTTCGAAAATGCGGCCGGGGACGCCGTTACCGTCAATTCTGAGCGATATCACGTGATGATAGAGGATTATTTTTTGCCGCAACTTGAAGGAATGGATATGGACAATGTTTATTTCCAACAAGACGGTGCAACATGCCACACAACCAACGTCAATATCCATCGATTGCAGTCCTTCTTCGGTGATCGCGTGATTTCGCGCAGAGGAAATGTGCCATGGCCACCAAGATCGTGCTATTCGACTCCCTTGGACTTCTTTTTATGGGGATATTTGAAAAGCAAAGTCTACGTCGACAAACCAGCCACCCTCCAAGAACTCAAAAACAACATCATTGCCGAGATAAATGCCATAGAACCGACCATGTTGCAAAATGTCATTGAAAATTTCGACCATCGCGTGGACGTCTGTAAATCCAGTCGTGGTGAACATTTGAGCGATATTATTTTTCATACATAAATGGTATAAATGAACCTTCAAAATAAAGTACCCAACTTGATTTGAGTATCAATCTTTCTTGTTTTAATATGCGTTTACTTTCCTGCGTCCGTTTTGTTATAAAATCTGGAACAGCCTATTTCGATGAAATTCGAGATCAAAAATTAAAGATACTTATGGTTTTTTAACAGGTGTAGCAAATGGTGATGTAATGGAGGACTAATAAAACATAATTACTTCTGTATAGGACTGTTAAGTTAAATTAACGTTATACATATGACAGTTAAAATTATATGTCGACATCGAGGTTGTTAATGTCTCAAACTTGTGTTAACTCAAAACAGAATTTTGAGGGCTATCCTTGGCAAAGCATACACTCATGTCGTATACTCTTCAAAGGTCACAATATCCTGACAGTTTTTCTCTATTATAAAAACATACAACATCACCCCACACCGAAGATTAAAGTTCCATTAGAAAATGGACGGGCTAGCACCGAAACCAAAACAACTAAACGTAAGATGCTATAGGTACTACTCCACAAATTAGTATTCGGAACCTAATATCCCAGAATCTAGACGCTGAACAAATGGCGCTCACATCACAAAAGGAGGAAAGTGACTTGAAGAAGATATGTACGATAGAAAACCAACACAATACTGAATCACTGAGAAAGAAAGATATAATGCGTGTGAAATTGTAAAATCAATAAACTATGAAATTTACCAAAAGAAAATCATTGAAAAGGGAAATGAGCACTCTGCCATTAATAAAGAGAAATTCAAATTACAAAGCGATCGAAATAGTAAAAAAATATGTGATTTGGGTACGTGAGAATGTTATCTTTTTTGTGTTATACTCTGTATGTCTATTCTTTTTGACTGTAGTTTTGTAATAACTTGTACTTCAATGGAAAGCAACATGAACTTATTTTATTTTGTATGCATTCTATGCAGTTTGAAAGGTAAATCTGTTTGGAAGTGTAACAGATCATCATAATCACAGTACATAACATAATCTCGTGGCAAATTGCCAAATTGCATAGTTCGAATAACAGTTGCAAAACAGCCATTGAAATGTGTCAAAACTTACATAAAAACTTCTTAGTGTTCAGTTCATATCCAAATATGACAGTCTGCTTGGGCACCAAGTCTTCGTTCATCTTCTCGAGGATCTCCCTGGTGAGAGCAGGTCCTTTGATGAAGATCTGGTTGCAATTTTGAAGATACGACGGACTGCGATCGAAACTCGGCATAGTTTCTATCGTTTCCGTAGATCTGCTCCTTCTACACGAATCCAGGCTAGGCAGGATCATGTCTTGGTTGCACTTCATCGAATTTCGCGTGAACACACCAAACTGCTCGCAGTCGTTCAATGCCTCATACGATTTGTGAATGAATATTATATGATTTCAGATATATAAGAGAAGACCTGCTTATCGGTTGAAAAGGCAACATAAACAAGAAGTTATCAGCGACAACCTTACGAAATGTGTAGAAGAGAGAATCACGCCATGCATCGCGTTTTTATCGTCTGGATATGGACGTCGACGGTGCTGACACACGTATAATATGTTGATTATTACGATTGTTTGTATGGGATTTGTGTTTAGGCGAAATGATACCGCACAACAGGATATAGGTGCTTGCAAGCGCGGATTCAGGATTTTCATTTTTTAACCTCAGTGGAACTTCTAGGATTTATCCTATTATTGCTCCTTAAATCCATTGCTCAGAAATCCTTGGAAAGCCAATATTTTATTATATGAGAACAAAATAAGTACGTGGCATTTATAATTAACTATAGTAAAATACCGAAATTGATGACAGTAGCGAAACTCATCGTACGACACTGCTATTACGCGCAGGCCTTTGAAAAAGCGGCGCCTCTTTGTGATATGTTGGCAAACGTCGCTGTAATCAAAAGGTACCACGTCAAAGCAGTGGCGCACGATGACTTCTGCTACTGTCATCAATTCTGGTATTTGACTATACAGTATATTCAGATAAAAGATAGACCGGATGTAAACAAAAGGTTCGGGTGATTTTCACGCTAACGCCGCCGTCTCGACGTAAAACAGGAGCCCTCATTGGTCAATTCGCAATTAAGTGCCTATGCCGAGCGGCAGAGCAGTCGTATCAAGGCAGAGTCACATTCAGGTTCAGACGGGTTACGTATGTCGTGTGCATCATTGCAATTTGATATTTCTTTGGACGTTTTCGTTTGTTATCTTATTAAGTTGTTGAGTTTGTCGTTGTTATTGTTATACCTTGTTATTGATTGTTATTGTTATCAACTGCTTGCGCAAAATGCCCAGTAGTACAGATACTGCCGATGAAGTTGTAAACTCCTGTAGTCCACCTAGGAAACGCTCTAAAAAAAGACACCTGAGTGCAGAAATGAAAGAGGTCATTTTGAATATATATAAGATCGAGCGCCAGGAGAACGAGGCATCAACCATCAAAGAAATTGTTGTGAAGGTTTCTCACAAAGTTGGGGTGTGTCGCGCATCAGTGTTTAATGTGTTAAGACAATACAAAAAAAATCACACCTTTTCTGGGCCAATGACCAGAAAACATCGCAAAAGTATTGTTAAATCATTGGATGAAGCTGATAAGCATGCGATTAGGAGGAAAGTGCATGAATTCTTCTTTAGGAATGAAATACCTACTATAGATAAAGTACTGCAGGAGGTAAATGGAGATACAACGTTGCCAAATTTCAAACGATCAACTTTCCATGCGTTACTGAAGCATTTAAATTTCAAATGGAAAAAACGGGGTCGTAATAGTTTACTACTGGATAGAGAAGAAATTGTGCTATGGAGGAGGGATTATTTAACAAAAATTGGGAAATATAGAAATCAAAACAGGAAGATTTATTACCTTGATGAAACGTGGGTAAACGCAGGACACACTACAAGTAAAGTATGGGTTGATGATTCTGTAACTTCATCCAGGAGGGCCTTTCTAGATGGACTCTCCACCGGATTAAAAAATCCAGCAGGTAAATACGAGTAATAGACAACAATCGGATGTTTTTCAAACCTTGGGAACAAGGTTCTAAACATTAATTCCAGGGGGCAGATAAAACATATTACAAGTAACAAAACTTTTATAACTTTCGATAAAATGCGTAGATGTTTTATTGTCATTTTCATTTGTTAGAACTTTTTTAAGCCATGTTTTTATGTGTTTTCGATATTTCAATAATTTTTTAATATAATCTTAAAATATGTCGAATATTATAAACTTAAAAAAAGTTACTAAGTTTTATATTGTGTACCGTTCCTAATATTTCTAATCATTTTAATTCATACTTTAAGCTTTATAAAGTTATAATTTGTTAATATTAATATTTGCGCGTATTTCAGGTTCCTGGTCATTCATTTTTTAAAGGTTTATAACTTTAAATTAAATTGTGAAGCGCTGAGTAATCATACGACGTTCAATATTCTTTCTTTCAATATGACTAAATAACCCCAATTATAGCAATCTGATACTCATGTCTCAATGTTTTTTCGCTGAATGTGATGAAAACATTTGAAAAAGGTTCGCTTATTGAAATAAATCTACACCAGTTAGTACTTCGATTTCCAGGTAAAGGGAAAAGGCTCATTATCTGCCATATTGGCAGTGAGGATGGATTTGTTGTTGACGGTCTGTGGTGCTTTGAGTCTAAGAAAACTGGAGATTACCACGAGGAAATGAATGGCGAATCGTTTGAACAGTGGTTTTCAAAAATTTTACCGAACTTAGAGGAAAACGCAGTAATTGTGTTAGATAATGCGCCTTATCATTCTCGAAGAATGGAGAAGGTCCCAATAACGGCTTCAAGGAAAGTTGATGCTCAAAATTGGCTCCGCTCAAAAAATATTAACTTTGAAGAAGCAATGCTGAAAGTACAATTATTAAGAATTGTCAAGGATCAAGGCGGAATATCAAAAATACGCCATTGACGAAATGGCAGCAAGTCAAAATAAAACTGTGCTCCGTTTACCTCCATACCATTGCGAGCTCAATCCCATTGAGCTCATATGGGCAGAGGTTAAAAATTATATAGCTAAGCACAATACAACTTTTAAATTTTGTGACCTCAAAGGACTTTTCAAAGAAGCACTAGAATTAATAACAGCGCAAACATGGGAAAACTGTATTAAGCACGTGAAAGACAAAGTTGAAAAGAGAATGTGGGAACTGGACAATATTTTAGAGGAACAAGTCGAGCCATTCATTATTGACGTTGGTGCTTCAGGCAGTAGCGATGATGAAAGCTCATCAAGCTCATCTTTCCAATAAAAGATGTCGTTCATCAAATTCGGTAAGTTATAAGTAATTATTAAGTATTTTTTAATTAATTATTGACATTTTTGAACCCATTTTGGCAAAACCTATTCAAGAATCTACTTTCTGACAATGTTCAACCATGCACATTTTTTTACGTTTTGAACGTTTTAATTTGGTTACATATTTACCTAGAAATCAAAAAATATACTAATTAATATTCTAAAAGCAATTTTAAGAGATATACGATTATTTTTAATTTAGGGTAATTTAAACGCCATATTGAGATTATATTCGACTGTATTTCACCAAACATCAGGCGGCATCCGAAGCTGGAAATCGAAGCGAAAATTTTGAAACCCTTATGTATATTTACATCATTATATATTTCTTACCCCACCCCCACATGATCCTATATCCATCACCAATCGTATACACATCGAATTGTGCTAATTTACTACAAAGTTACGCAAAGCAGCATCTACTATCTAAAATATGTACTGCGTGACTCTTAATACGTCCCTGCCGAATGTTACAGCGTTCGATGATCACGTGGTCTTGTTTATGTCCGGTCTATCTCTTATCTGAATATACTGTAGTGTAATAATATTAATGATTCGAATGATTGAAACCTAACGTCCACAACACAGTGGTCTGAGTTACCCAGGGGAGACAGGACAGCAGAGCTGTAAGGGACAGGATGCGTGGTCAAAAAGAGATCTAGCAGGATACTGGCATGTGACGCAAAAAAGTAGGGCCAGTCACCAGCTGGGTCAGCCCTTGAGTAAGAGCGAACGCTTTAACTGCACGACCTGCTGCATCGGTCTTGTTTGAGCCCAACCAAAGCAAACGGACTTGTACCGCCACCCGGCAATCGGTACTGAGGTATTCCTCAACGCGTGTATAATCACGTGTACGGGAAGAAGTTGTATGCTGGATACAACAACTTTCGGAATTTCGCATTTGCCACGGCCCCGCTCAGTAGGGGTTGGGGTTTTTGAAATTCAATATAGATGTTATAGCTATTTCTCAGACTTTCGTTGTCAAACTTATATTTACGGCATAGTTGTTTTCTCAGTTTTCGAACCGGTGTTGATCGCATGTAGAAATGTTGGAAATCCTTGGAAGAAACTATATCTGTTAGATCGTAATTATTTTGATAATGTATGTTTGTACTAATCAAGTACAGGAATACAGGGCTGTACATATTCTCATATAGTGCAGCAGCTCTGTGATTTAAACGAATTCAATATAGCAACATAAATAGACATATACGCGAGAAAAGATGCAGGACGTGTGGTATTGATTTTGAGCATCGATCGACGCAGTTTCTAGACAGGCCACAGGCGCACCGCTAAACAAATCTCATAACACTTTTCAAATTACTATTGAGCAACAAACAGAGCATAAATCACTTTTTAAGTGCAATCTGTATAGCTAATATACTAAGTGACATATAAATCCGAACACCCAGTTTAAATGGTTTTATTTTAATAAAAGTTGGTGAATGTATTTATCTTACTGTAAATAACATGCCTTATCAGTTGGACATTCCGGTTTTTATACTGCTTTTTTTTAATTCACTAACGCTCTAAAAATGAATATTTCAACCGCAGTAAAGAATCAACGTTGGCGGATTTTGGTCCTTGACATCCTTTACGATCGGTTACGATGCCTAGAGTACGGAGGCCTGTACGATTTCGTCAACTTAGTGAGTTTGATAGGGGCCGTATAGTGGGACTTCGGGAAGCTGGACTTTCTTTTCGCGCAATTGCAGTTAGAGTGCAAAGAAGTGTAGACACTGTGGTTAGGTGTTGTCAGGCATGGCTTCTAGAAGGCCGTACGCAAAGAGCAAGAGGCACTGGACGCCGCCGTAGAACAACAGACCGTGAAGATCGCCGCCTAAGATTATTGGCCTTAAGGGACCGTTTCTCCACTACCAGGTCCATTGCAAATGAATGGTTTGCAGAATACGGAAAACCTATTGGCATGCGAAGTGTTTACCGACGAATGAGAAGTTTTGGCTTGTTTTCATACCGGCCACACTGGATCCTCCCTTTAACTCGAGAACACCGACGTAATCGCCTTGAGTGGTGCAGACAACGGTCACTCTGGGATCAGGAATGGAACAGTATTGTCTTTAGTGACGAGTCTCGATTTTGTTTAGGCATGAACGATGGTCGTGCCAGGGTTAGAAGGCGACGTGGTGAAAGGAGGAATCCACAGTTTTTTGTTGAAAGACATGTTTATCACACTGTTGGAGTTATGGTTTGGGCTGCTATAGCTTATGGTTCCAGGTCACCTTTAATCTTCATCAGAGGTAACATGAACGCGCAGCGTTATATACACGAAGTTCTAGAAGCCCATCTTTTACCCTATCTTGACACCCTGACAGATCCAACTTTCCAACAAGATAATGCCCGACCACATGTTGCAAGAGTCACAATAGACTTCTTTCGACATAATGATGTCACATTGTTATCATGGCCACCAAGATCTCCCGACTTATCCCCAATTGAGCACGTGTGGGATATAATGGGTAGGAGATTGCTCAATTTGCAACGTCCTCCTCAGACTCTAGAAGCACTTCGAGAGGAGTTGGTGGTTGCCTGGAATGAGATACCACAGGAGGACATTGACCACCTGATCAGAAGCATGCCTAGGCGCGTTGGAGAATGCGTAGCACATCAGGGTGCATCCACGCATTATTAAAGGTCAAAGGGCTTTAAAGCAGTGCAATCATTTTGAAATTTTTATCATTTACTTATTATGCTTCATTAAGTACTTATACAAAATTTTATTAAAATAAAACCATTTAAACTGGGTGTTCGGATTTATATGCCACTTAGTATATCATTCCGTCCAAATGTTTGCCATCTCTTCTCATTGTGCGCGCCAATTCTGAAACGCTTTCTTGCAGAGTTCCAGAATGATGTTGTTTATTTCTCGTTCAATGTTGTCTTTAAGCTCCTTCAGTGTTCGTGGATTACTGGAATACACTTTTAACTTTAGATAACCACACAAATAATAATCGCGAAGCGTGAGGTGGACACGGGTATCATGTAAAAAACCTACAAAACGTCAAAAAATACCTACATAATGTCAACTTACACACTATACTATAACTATCTAAAACTGTAATGACTCATCGATGTTCACGTGAACATCACTTAACTACCAGTAGTCGGCTGTTCATAGGCGGAGTATGAATGTTTAAAATGGGTGAACTAGATTTGTTACATGCTTAATAAAGAGTGGTTTGAAACATATTGTAAGTCAAAAATTTGGGAATTACCTTTATTCATCGTCGCTTCCAGTTACATCTAACAGTAATAAACTGTCGCTATCGCCTTCCTCGTTGAAATGACTATAACTGGCTCTATGATGGTGTCGATGTGGTGGTCAAGCTGCCACATTTTTGTTTCTTCCTTCACAACATGACGGATAGCATTCTGCCAAGCTTCGGGCGTTACTAGCTGTATGGAAGTCTCAAGTAAAACCTTAACGTCTGGTAATTTGAAGGTTGTGTTATGGCGCGCAATATAACCCTTCACTTGATCCCAGATGAGCTCTATTGGGTTCAGTTCACAGTGGTAGGGCGGTAACCGCAGCACAGTGACACCACATTGACGGGCCATCTCACGTAATGTTCGCAGGTTTGTGCTGTTTAATTTTTTCATACAATTCCGCTTTCACACATGAATCGTCAAACGGGATTCCTTTTTCGCGCAAGCATTGCTGCATGTCACTTTTTCGAGATCCCATAGTCGGTACACGTTCGGCTCGACGACTATGGTAGGAAGCATTATCCATGACGATCACAGAGTTGAGCTCAACTCACTGAAGCACCCCTTGAAACCAGCTCTCGAAGCAGCTGGCATTCATTTCGTCATGGTAATCACCTCCTTTCTTAGAGACGAAAATCAAGTCACACTCTTCTAAAAAGCCACTATCGCTACCAATATGAGTTACGATCAATCTTTGACCTTTCCCTGACGGTCCACGAAGACCTGTTGACAAACCTTCAATGCTTGCTTGTCGGTTACTCACTACGTTTTTGTCTATCCAGGTTTTTTTAACTGTGTGACCTGCATTTACCCATGTCTCGTCCAAATAATAGATTTTTCTGCTTTGTTGCCTATATTCAATCATTTCGCGTAGGTATTTTCGACGCCAGGCGACTATTTCAGGTCTCTCTATCAATACTGACTTCCGATTACGCGTTTCGTAACGAAAATTAATTTCGTGCAGGGATTTCCTCATTACCTCGACGCTCATTTGGGGTATAATTTCATTTTCCTTGATCGCTGCATGTACAGCCTTGAGGGTTGGTATCTCATTCCTAAAGAAGAATGAATGTACGGTTCGCCTTAACGCCATTTTGCTATCGTCATCCAATTTAACGGCCTTTCGTCCCTTCAAATTAAACTTTGGATGTAGTAGTAGCTCCAGTTTTCTTCTTTTCATGCACCACCCTGCGAATGGTCCACTCTGGAACGCCTGTCATACTTTCACAACGCGCGAGTGCATCTACCTGCGACATAGTTCTGTTCAGATAATTGAACACGTTGAGCACGATTTCTTTCGCGTCCCTGTTCAGTGCTTTACGAAGCCGTCTACTGATTCCCTGGCTTTCAGTACTTCCACTCGTGCCATTTGTACTCTCCATGGATAAGTATAACCAAAACAGTAACCACAGAAACCACAACAATCAATAACAATCACACAACAATTCTTATAAAAACACACAATATGCGATCGCTCAACGAAACACGTTCCAATGCGTTGCCGACGCCTATGAGTCTGCCGGTCGAGGCGCGTCTTTGATTTCATTGGTTCCACCGGCGGAGAACAATCAGCCATTATTTCCATCTCTGTCTGTGCTGTTGACCACCGCAAAGCCACAGAAACGACATATGTCGTACGCTATACGGCTGTACTGGAAGGAATCCGGGATCGAGCTCTGATCACGTGTTGTCATTACAGTTTTAAATAGTTGTAGTATAGTTCATAGTGTGGTTCATTGACCTCAATGTGTACGTAGGTTTAAAATGTGAAAAACGAAGGTTTGGTTGAGTAGCAAGACCGCATCTGGATGATTGTATTGGTCTGCATGTGACGGGTTATTTATATGTTATGCTTTCTGAAGAGAGGTTATGTTCAAAGTTATAAATTACGAAAAACTGAGGAGAATTACGGGAAAACATCATCGCGCCCGCGTTGTGTGTAATTACTGTTAGCATGTACATATATGGCTTGTAATTCGACAATGTACAGTGAAAACCCATTTTTTATTTGTGTGCCCTAGGGATTCCCAACGCAGCGGAATGGCCGAATCACTTACTCGACGCATATTTTGAATGGGCTGACTGAGAGTAGAGCCTGTTGCGCGGAACCTCTCGATCCACTTTTTCAACAGATTCTTACTTGGTCGGCGAATGTTGTATCGTGTGAATCACCACTCTTAAAGTAAGCGTCGATAGCAAAAGCGCGTTGCGCTCCGGTCCATCGTTCCATCGTGACTATTTAACCCGCACGCCGAACGCGTCGATCAAGAGCTCTCCGCACTGCTTCGCGTGTACGGTCGCCGCGTAATTCAAATTTGAAATGTGAACTTTGGCCACCGGACACACTGTAGTTTAAAGGGGCGAAGATGAAGGCGTTTACACCGATTACACCAATCAACAGTTCAGTTGACAGTAAATCGATCCATTAAGGACACTCAATCGGTGCTGCAGACATCTCATGATCACGATTTTTAAAGAAGCGTTGGTAATAACGAGTTTATTATACTGAAGACAGTGTGTACATTATACACATATCTAAATGTGTCTGTTCTTATAATATCGTAGGAAGAACATTGGAGGATAATTTCTTTCAACTGGTCATTTTTTATCAATTCTGGTCAACACAGTTCAACAACTGCAAACTCGCGACAGCGCTCATAAAAAATTGTACCAGACAAAACATGGAAGCTGTTCTGAAAAGTAATGGTAGTACTTCTCCCCTCCCTCCTTATAGTATGTACAGTACATATAGTATCTCTCTTTCTTATTCGACGACTACGATAGTGTTTTGAATGGCATCAAGTAGCTTCACTCGCAGTCATCTGTTGATAAAAGACAAGTTACACTCTGAGAGAAAAATGAGTTATGAACATGCACCTATTATACGTGAAAATATACAGGGTGTTCCTTGATGATATGCGAATATTGTGTGAATCTACATGAAAAATTAATGTTAGTTTGCTTTATAAACTGTGGTCCAAAAATGTTTCCTTACAAAAAACTCGAGGTGTTGTTTTAGGAAAACAATGGAAAGTAATTAATATTTTCAGAACCGCTTCAGATATTTCACTGATATTTGGTACGTAGTGAAAGTTAATAAAGCTGAATATTTTTCAATCTAAAAATAATTTTTTGCTTTAACAGTGGCGTGCGTACGGGTATTGACTTCGATATTTGTTAAGAAAAAAATGGTACACCAATAGTTTTTTGCCAAACAAAAATAATTTTTGAATTCCCCGTTCAATTTAAAACAAATGATCTCTCTTGAATTGTTTTCATTCGATGCGCCGTTTTTGAGTAAAAAAATAAAAACCGTTCTATACCCGAACGCACGCCACTGTTAAGCCTAAAAAATATTGTTGCGTTGAAAAATATGCAACTTTATTAACTTTCACTACGTACTAAATATCAGTGAAATATCTGAAGCGGTTCTGAAAGAATTAATTAATTTCCATTTTTTTCATAAAACCTCAACACCCCAAGTTTTTGTAAGGAAACATTTTTGGACCATAGCTTATGAAGCACAATATCATCAATTTTTCATATATATTCACAGCCTTAGATATTCGCATATTAAGGAATACCCTGTACAAATATACAGGGTGCTATTTCGCAAGATACAGTGTGTTAAAATTTGTAGGTGGTATTTATAACATTAAGGAGCTAGTTTAGCCCTAACTTGATCAAAATTATTGAATCCAGTTGCGTCTCGAGCGGGATTCGAACGAATATTTGTGATATATACTAAGTGACATATAAATCCGAACACCCAGTTTAAATGGTTTTATTTTAATAAAAGTTGGTGAATGTATTTATCTTACTGTAAATAACAAGTGAAAAAATTTTCAGCCTTATCAGTTGGACATTCCGGTTTTTATACTGCTTTTTTTAATTCACTAACGCTCTAAAAATGAATATTTCAGCCGCAGTAAAGAATCAACGTTGGCGGATTTTGGTGGTTCTTGACATCCTTTACGATCGGTTACGATGCCTAGAGTACGGAGACCTGTACGATTTCGTCAACTTTTGATAGGGGCCGTATAGTGGGACTTCGGGAAGCTGGACTTTCTTTTCGAGCAATTGCAGTTAGAGTGCAAAGAAGTGTAGACACTGTGCTTAGGTGTTGTCAGGCATGGCTTCGAGAAGGCCGTACGCAAAGAGCAAGGGGCACTGGAAGCCGCCGTAGAACAACAGACCGTGAAGATCGCCGCCTAAGATTATTGGCCTTAAGGGACCGTTTCTCCACTACCAGGTCCATTGCAAATGAATGGTTTGCAGAACACGGAAGACCTATTGGCATGCGAAGTGTTTACCGACGAATGAGAAGTTTTGGCTTGTTTTCATACCGGCCACACTGGGTCCTCCCTTTAACTCGAGAACACCGACGCAATCGCCTTGCGTGGTGCAGACAACGGTCACTCTGGGATCAGGAATGGAACAGTATTGTCTTTAGTGACGAGTCTCGATTTTGTTTAGGCATGCCAGGGTTAGAAGGCGACGTGGTGAAAGGAGGAATCCACAGTTTTTTGTTGAAAGACATGTTCATCACACTGTTGGAGTTATGGTTTGGGGTGCTATAGCTTATGGTTCCAGGGCACCTTTAATCTTCATCAGAGGTAACATGAACGCACTTCGAGAGGAGTTGGTGGTTGCCTGGAATGAGATACCACAGGAGGACATTGACCACCTGATCAGAAGCATGCCTAGGCGCGTTGGAGAATGCGTAGCACATCAGGGTTCATCCACACATTATTAAAGGTCAAAGGGCTTTAAAGCAGTGCAATCATTTTGAGATTTTTATCATTTACTTATTATGCTTCATTAAGTACTTATACAAAATTTTATTAAAATAAAACCATTTAAACTGGGTGTTCGGATTTATATGTCACTTAGTATAGTTATGCCATATGCCATATTTTTGTGCAATTCTTATTATGTGGTTGTGTGTAGTTAAGCCACGTATTACAAAATAATTAGGAATGACGCATCACATACAAAACATTTTCGCACTGCCTCACGTATAGGCGCTGATTTGTATTTTCTACTTGACATTGTAAAATGAAATTTAATGATAGTTAAATTAAAATTTAATGACTTTTTTACGTTTCATAAATATTCCTGTATATACCATATTTTCTTACCTGTTACTTTTCACCAACCAGGGGTTTATTTTTCTTAACTCTCTCATTTTTTAACTTCAGCAAATTTGCAAATCTAATTTCCAGAATTAATAAGAAAAAGTGGTGCACGCAGCCAATTTCTAGATTTGAATGAATGTCTAGGAAGTTTATTTGAGACAAAAAACCCATGGAATTATGATCAACACAGATTTAGCACACAAATCCTCACTAGGCACCTATTCATTGCCGTTTCCTTCTAGCAATAGTATACAACACACAGCTTAGACCTCCAGTAATGCCATCTCTGAAGCAGATGTTACATCACATTGAAAGCTGAATCATCTTGACGTTTAGGCAACACGTACAGCTATGGAACGAGTACACATCAAATGTACAACAGCTAGTGCTAAGTCGACATCTTGTTGAAAATATCAAAAAACGATATACTAGCAAGAAACGTAGTACCTTTTTTTCTGACCACCTCGTACTTGCGTCTACATTTGTTATCCGGGCCTAATTATCAAAAAACTATAAGTTTATGATGACATTAATTAAACCATATAGACATGACAAGATTAATATGTAATAAAAATTGTTTATAAATGCCTAGACACCAGTCATGATACATCTAGTATCTTTGTAGGCCTTTCGTATATTATTTTAAATACATAAATGTGATATACAGATAATATACGATTAAGTAATATGTTATGAAAGGGCGCTTAAAATAACATTAGATTAACTATTAGTGATGCGTAGTACGAATTCGGTGTAAATAAAAGACCGGCCTGAGTTTAGGTCGAAACATATACAGGGTGGCGCATCAAAAACGAAATAGACGCATTTACTGGCAGCTCAGTTGTTTCTTTGAAAAACGCTCAGACCCGTCGATTTTGTTTTCGAGGGGGACACAAGTTTGGCAAAAAATCACGTTAGCACGTGCAGCCCCCTAAGCGAGGGTAACACCACCCCTAAAAATCTTAAATGGGGGTCGAGTAATACCTTATTTTAAAGGTATTTCAATTTCCTTTATAATGATATAAAATTAATGTACTTCAGTTCAGTAGTTTTGAAGATTTATTGATTTAAAGCTTAAATAAAACTAATACAGTGGACACAGTCTCCAATTTGCGGGTACTTAACGTAGGATCTACAAAAACTTGCCTTAAAACCCCCACTTCTATTGCATCGTTCCTTATGGGATTTTCAATGTTGCGTTTTTTATTGGCGACTGACCCAGTTTTCCGAAATTTACCTACAAGTTCTAGAACATATTTTCGATGTTACTGTTTTCATGTCGCTCATTAAATATTTCTGCTGTTCTATTAGCGCACTGATTATTTCCGAAAAATATTTCGATAATTTCAACTCCTTCTGCTGTGGAACATACCATGGTCAATTTATGTAATAAAGCGTTACAAGTTATTTTAGCAACAAAGCTTGGTCAAAACAATCGCAAACTGTGTACTAAATTCCTATTTAAAATAAGTACGAGATATTTCCTTATCTTTCTTCAAGAAATAACTTTTTTGCCACAAAAAAAAACGCTCCTATAGCTATTTTCAACAACAAAATGATAAACAAACCATTGGCGTAGTGAAGAAAAGCACTTACTTATTAAGTAAATTCTTTTAGTCAAATTTCTTCTGAAAGTAGTACAAACTAATCTGATGTATCTATTAAAGTCTACTTTAAGCTTTAAATCCATAAATCTTCAAAACTACTGAACTGAAGCTCATGTATTTTATATCATTATAAAGGGAATTGAAAGACCTTTAAAATAAGGTATCACTCGACCCCCCTTTCCATTCCAGATTTTAGGGTTGGTGTCACCCCCGCCTAGGGGGCTGCACGTGTTAACGTGATTTTTGCCAAACTTGTGTTCGCCTCGAAAACAAAATCTACGGGTTTGAGCGTTTTTCCCAAAAAAAATTAGCTGCCAGTAAATGCGTCTGTTTCGTTTTCGATGCGCCACCCTTTATATAAGCATGGGCCTGATTCTAATAAAATGTCGACAGTTGAAATTAAGGTGCTATCACCCAAAGCCTTTGTTTGAAAGCTTAACTGAAAATATATGTGCATTCTGTTCTTTCTGTGCTGTTTATTATTTCCTTTCTTAATCACTTCATAAACGCAAATGACACAACCCCCTGAAAGTAGGCAACCCACACTACTTGCCGCCCCTCACGACACGTGATTCTAGATCCGCGCCTGGCCCAGTAGGGCCTCAATTCTGTGCCCTGACCTTATTGAAAATAAAATCATTATTATAGTTTGAAGTATGCCTTTCCATGTCCTTATTTGTTAGCGCTTTTCTGAGACTCCTACAATGACCTCAATACCTTCCACATCTGCACTTACAAAA